CCCCCCCCGATTTCTTCTCATTGCATGTTGCCTTCTTAGCTGGAGCACTGAAAGATCTCGCAACCGTCTCGGGCGAGTCGAGATACTTGAAATGCGCGTTGCGGATTTTAAAGTGCCACAGAGCAGAGAAGTGGGTGTTTCCCAGCTAGGGAGTTACAAACTCGTGCAGGACGGTCCGTGGATCGATGTGCCGAGCCCCGGGGGTGGCTCCGCGTCTCCGGATATTCACCTTCCGGATTCTCCAAGACCACGGACGACACACGGCTCTCAACTTCTGCCTCAACTGCCTTCGCGATTCACACGAAAAGAAACTTCAATCGTCACCGTCCTTTCCAATCGAGTGCCTCGTCGAGCGTCTATATGTCTAAAGATGGATGTAATAGCACATCAAGAGTCATGCATTATTCTCTCGTTAGAGAATTATTTGAAAGATCGCGTTTGCGATGAGATGGTCAGAAGCGATTTGAGGATTTCCTTTTTTCATCAGTGGAAGAGTAATGAGGGGAAGTCCTTCTTCGTTGAAAGTGAAGGAACGTCTTCGAAGGTGACGCGATTGCCGGATTGGGAACCACTGATCTATGCGTTCGTGAAAATGGCATGAGTTACGCGTCAATCCATACGCGGATATTACGCATCACTTAGCAATCATTAAGATGGTGTAACGACGCAACTGTCCTCCGAAGGACGCGCGACGATCGTGAATCATTCGCGCGAGTAATCCCGCGTTTTCGATTTTGCAGCGGTCTGGGTTGCGTGGTGGGCCTGCTAAAGACGGGATCGAAGAATCTGTTTCTGTTCGACGAGACGGGAGTGCATTATCAGCTGCAGGCGAGATGCATCTTGGACTTCTACGTGCACGAGTCGCGACAACGCATGGGCCTGGGCAATATCCTTTATCAGCACATGTTGTCCGTGAGTTTTGATCTTAAACAATTTCCTCAGTTCCATTATGTAAAACGAAATCTGCATATCGCGCGATGGGATCAATATGAAAGGAATCTGTGGTGTATCAAGAGTATCGTGAGTCAGTCGAAAAATTCAGCTCGACCTTGACTCAAATTTCATTACTGTGTTGATGAAATAGATCGAACAGAAATAGATAGTTGAAGCAATTTTTTATTTTAACAAAAGCAAATCAGCGTTGTTTTAAAATACATTAAAAAGACATTTTAAAAGATACATATTAAAAATACATTTAAAAGACATTTTCGACGACTTGGCGGCACGGAGAAAATATTGTCATAAAAATTATAGCAAAATTTCGTAATCTTGGACCGTAAAAAAATTTCGAAATTACTATATTATTTGTCTCGAAATGCTTGACTTTTAACTATAAAGTTATTGTAATTACTTGAGTGTTTCTTCTATCGTATATTCAATGGATCATAAAATTAACTATTTCTTATGATGATTTATTTTTACAATATATCGGTGTAATCCAGAGAGAACTTTCCAAAAAACATTGTAAAATAAAATATAATGTAATTTTAATGTAATTTCTTCCTACAATATTTTTCCCGTGTGCATTCCCGTCGTAGAATTTGTTCGGTTTACCGTTGACGGAGGCATTGAAGATCGAATCGAACCTTTCGACAGACCTAATATATAATATATGAGTATACTTACACAAGCATCCGCTGCTTCATTATCGCGATAGCAAACACTCATCGCGAAATAGGAGAAGCGTGCAACACGCGTTTCATATATCGAAAGCGTTTCGTATAGCGAAGTAATGAGATGCCGTCGTTGTTACCGTTTCTAAAATGCATTTTCGCCGAAAAAGAGGTCGATTTAATTAATGAAGCATCTTTCCTTTCCCTCGATAATTGTGTGTTAACGAGCCCGCGAGAAACGGATCGTTCTCATGTGAAGAAAGAGAGAGAAAGAGAGGGAGAGAGAGTTCCCGTAAGATATGAGGCATCTTTTCACCCCCTCGCTCGAAGACAAATCTTCGATGCGCCGCTACGAGGCGTAATTACTTCCTGCGTGGAAGCAGAAGGCGTCGCGCAATCGTGATCTAAATCACTATCGTCGAGAGGCTTCGTGCGAAACGAAAGCAGACTGCACGCTGTAATCGCATTACGTAGCGACGATGGACTACAGTGATCTTTGCGTAACGGCAAATTACCGCCAATTATTTACAGTAAATATTATTTTAATATTTGATGATATAATTTCTCACACACATATGTGTATATATATATATATATATATATATATACACATATATATATATACACACACACACACATATATATATACATATATATATATATATATATACACATATATATATATATATACATATATATACGCGCCAAGTGCAGTTTGTAACTGCATAAGTCGAAGATGGAATTATTTACAGTAAATATTATTTTAATATTTGATATAATTTCTCACATACATATGTATATATATATATATATATATATATATATATATATATATATACATATATACATATATATACGCGCCAAGTGCAGTTTGTAACTGCATGAGTCGAAAATGGAATTATTTACAGTAAATATTATTTTAATATTTGATGATATAATTTCTCACACACATATGTGTGTATATATATATATACACACATATATATATATATATACATATATATACGCGCCAAGTGCAGTTTGTAACTGCATGAGTCGAAGATGGAAGAGCATTGAGATATTAATTGCGCTGAGGAACGCAGATATTCTTTGTCAGGCTGCTATCACTGTTTGATAAAATAGACGATAAACAAATTGCGAACGTTTATTCAGGTGAAACGCGTCGGGAAGCATCAACATGTTCGAGTAGAATAGAAAATCATGACATGAACAAGGGGATAATCGAATCATGATTGAAAAATGAGTTTTTTTTTATTATTCCGATATTATTTTGATATCATGATCTTTTGTTCTGCCTGAAGTATATGTTGTTTGGAGATACATATAATCTATGTCAGTGATAACATTTTGCCCCGATACTTATCAACGTTATCGCGAGACATATAAGCGTGCGCACAAGATATGCAAAATATATGACTCACGTGGAAAGTACACTGTAAAACTCTTGAGCTTAATTTAATAGCAAAGAAAATTCATGGAGAAAGGAAGTTTAGAGGAAGAAAGTTTATTTTAACAGCATAATTCATTAAAGTAATGTAGGCGATGTATATTTTTAGTAAGCGAGAAATATGTCAGAGCCATACGTATTCATAAACATAGTAACGTGCAGAAACTATTCCTCGTGGTAAAGTATAAAACGCGCGTAACAAAGAGGAAAGCGGCGGAATCCGCGAAACGCTTTTCGTTCCGCTCGAGGACTCGGAACCCTGAAATCGGTGTCACGTGAGGACAAGCGCATAGGACTGTAACGAAGAGACAGTCGTTCTTCTTTTCGCGTTTCTGCCTGCAAAATCTTTACCAGAAAATGCACAATTATTCACGTCGTGTGTGAGTCGTGACAAGTGCAAAACTACGAGACCTAATTATCCACAGAGAACATATTATTCATAAAAATCCGTGCAATTTACACATCGTAATAGCTAATAGTATGTACATCGTAATAGCTAATATTTCTAGCCAAAACTGCGAATTTATTGTGGATAATTGTCCTGCGATTTAGACGAGGTTGTTTTTCTTCCCGCAATCTTTATCACACTGAAAAAAAATACACGAAAATTTCTATGTGGGATATAAACTTTATCTCACTGAAATAGACTTTATATCTCACAAATAAATTTTCAAGTATTCTTTTCTTCAGATGAACTTTATTTCGCAAAAGCAAACTTTATATTCCATAAATAACTTTCCGGGTTTATTTTTTCTCAATGCAGGGTGCAAAATTATTTATATCGTGTGTGAGTCATAACAAGCGTGATTTTTCACAGAGAACTTACTATTTACTAAAATTCGTGCAATTTACGCGTTACCTGCATTGTAGCAACTCATGTGCTTCGAGTTAATTGTGGAAAATTGCGGATCTGGTGCCTTTCTACCTTTTTTCTTCTCCATTTTTCGACTTCTTGGGTTCGCAATAATCCGTTATACGTTACTATGGAGAAAAGTGTCTAGTAGTAGCGACATGGACGGAGAACAAGCACAAATAGAAAACAGTACGCGCTTAACCGCGAGGCTAGCTCTCGCGTGTCATTATGCTCAACCGGGCTCGAAGCACTCGCCGGGATTCCGCTACGCATAACACGCATCGCTTGTGATGAACGAACGAAACAAACGCTGAAACCTGAAACGCGATTCTCACCGACTAAAACTCATGGCAATTATCCGCGATTGTATCCCTTCACTCGCGTCAAACCGTGACTCACTCGAAGGTACGACGTCATAATTATCTGTGTGTCCAGCGTTACGGTTCAATGCATGCGAAGATACACGCGTCGCACTTGTTGCACAATCCCTTTTCCTCTGGTGAGAGGTTTGTCGTCGGGAAGACGCGGTAATATCATGCACGTTGTCTCGAAATGAACGAGAGAGAGAGAGGGACAGAGAGAGAGAGAGAGAGAGAGGCGGAACAAGTTCGTTACGAGGAAATTGAAACGTGATGAATACGGCATTCATTGCAACTTTCGCCGAGCGAAGATCGGTCCTAAATTGCTCGAAATCTCTCGTTCTAAGACGGTAATTACATGCGTTTTTGCGGTTCTCATCGCGGCGGGATGCGGTTTACCCATTTTTCTGTGAAAGCCGTGGCAGAACGCGCTGGGTCAGACACAAAGGCGTACTTACGCCGCGTGACGACCGGCTCTTGCGAGTGAGCGAGCATACCCTTTCTCGAGATCCTTATTTTCTCTTTACACGCGCGCGCGATAATCTGCCTTTTTCCCCCGAGTACCACCGCTCGGGGCCTCATCGATTTCATTTAATATCAATTAAACTCACAGCGCCACACATTCGCTCCTGTCGTCTTCGTTGCATTCGCCGCGTCAGCCACGAGAGTTGCTACCTCGAATTTCGCCAACGTTAATTCTCTACGTTGTAACGCGACCGCGATGTGAGGCAAAAAGGAAGCAGAAAGCTCAAGAAAGGGAGAAAGGAAATTCAGGAAGAAGAAAAGGCTCACTAAGAAATGAAACTTTTCTCATCGATCGATTCTCTCGCGTCACAAACAGCCCGCGTACGATGTGAACGAGAAAGAAATCGCCCGGTCATAAACGCGATATTAATAAGAATGTTGATATCGGGAAGATCTGTAAAATTATATGAGAATTTTGTACACGTAAAGAGTCAGACCTTTATCTTTCTCTCTCTTTTTATCGCGCGCGCGCGCCTGGCTGCAATTTTATCAAAGAAAATAAGCCCATTTCATAACTTTCTTGTGAGACGCGGCTAGAGATCCGCGATATCGCGCGCAAAACGCGACCGTTCTTAAACAGGCGCGTGACAAAAGGTCATTATACATGTGAGCACCTAGGAAGACGGGTGTTACGCTCGAGGGGGTAACTCGCAAGGTGACTGAACCCGTCCGGCCCGTTTGTTTCGGCACGGTTCGCCGATTTAGTATCTGCCGATATACACGCAACGATCGACACGCCGATTTCCGCCTAATTCTTGCTCCTTCTACGCGAACCCAATACTGGAAGCCTGGTTCCGCGTTAAGTGCGATCAATCGCTCGGTGGTTGCACAGCCGCGCTACGGAAGTTAATCACAACGGTGCGCGAGCGCTTACATCATTCGAACGCGTCACGTGTACGTGAATAATTTAATCAGTCAAATTGCTGCGCGACGGACCAAAGTGTGTAACAGGGAATATCACAAGTCATACATACAGTGTGTCAAACTAGTTATTACCGCTATTACCGTTTCTTTCTTCTCTTTTTTCTTACTTCCCATATATATTTTTGGATTTAAGGCTCCTGGCCACTCGCATTGTTTATCTCTTTTTAATGACGTCAGAAACAAGAAAATGCATGCTAAAAATTCTTGCAAAATACGTTAAAATAAAAATATATAAAGTAACACATGCAATCGATTAAACAAATTTGCAATCCCCTTTAACAATCAATAACTTATCGTAAATTAACGTGACATACAATTCATTTTCTTAACCTATTTCTATTCAGGTTAATTTACAATAGTCTTGATTGTTAGAGCAAAAGGGGAATGCATGGAATGTCTTATAAATTTGTTTAATCGATTGCAAGTGTTGCTTTATGGATATATATTTTTATTTTAACGTATTTTGCAAGAATTTTTAGTATGCATGTTCTCGCTTCTGACGTCATTAAAAAAAAGAGAAATGCGAGAGACTAGGAGCCTTAATGTCCCACTCTGCTTTCTCTCTCTCATTTCCTTTAATTTCTTCTTCTCTTAATCCCTTTTTAATGCCTCGACTCTTTATATTTTTTCTTTAGCCTGATATTAACATGAACAATTGCTTTCGCAGGAGGAGAACATCAGGCCGGTGAAATTAGCTATCGACCGACCGTCGGAGAAGTTTCTGGCTTTCCTGCGCAAGTACTACGGACTATCGAAGATCGTTCCTCAGAATAATAAATTCGTCGTCTTCGAGGGATTCTTCGATGATGGTGCGTAAATGACTTCTTCCGCGCTGAATTACACATGAGTCTCGTTGGGAATGAGCGTAAATCTCCACGTCCAAAAAGGCACGACACCTGGCTTCTCTCACGGAAACGTCGTGAATGACCACGATCTTGGCCAATGCTCTATGACGTGCGCATCCAGAAATAAGTCTCACGTGTGGGGGAACGTCGTGTGTGTCGCGGCCGATCGTTCTTCTCGCGTTATCAACGATAAACGTCCACGCGATTTCCATACGGTACACGTTGACGGCGTGCAATGTATCGTAGAGAGCCGGCAATCAAATCGACTAATTCGGAAACGGCCTACAGACCCGTTTCTTCGCGGAAGTAGACCTTATTTGTAGAAACTCGATATTTTCGCGCCATCGACTGTCGAGCTCGCGTCACGCAATCACAATCACGCAAAGATAAAATGCCTCGAGCCACATTGTATGATAAAAATCCAGCTGATGACAGTTCTCTTGTCTTCTTGGAAGATTTGTTTTCTATGACTCATGCCCTTACCGAGGCGACCAATTCGATTATCTCGTGGAGCGAGTGAGCGAGCGAGCGAGCGAATCTTCAAGGTGTACGTCGTACAGACGCAAGGTCGGACTTGACTCGGTCTGGTTTCGAGTGAAGGTCGGGCCGCCCTACGGCGAACGTCGGGTTTCGCATCCTAAATCGGCGATGCTCGCTCTCTCTCTCTCTCTTCCTCTCAAGGGAGTCTCTGAAAAAATCGCGGCCAATGCCACGCTGAGGACGACTAATGCCCCGCTTACGTCTGCGCTCGCGATCGATCGGGCCCGTCCCGAGCCGTCCAGTCGCGCCGCGCCGCGTCGCCAACCCCGGTCACATTTAACGCTGATTATGCACGATCCGTTCCAATTTTGTTGATAGCGGCGAACACACGTCCCTCGAAATATTAATGTGCCCGTGCGCTCCCGTCCACTGGAAAACGAAACGTAAAAAGTACGGAGAAAGGAAAGCTTCGCGATCACGGATAACGAATAACGGCGAATGCTGATTATTATTGTCATTGAAAGTGTTTTAAAACGGCTGCTGAAAACACGGAGAGAGCGGGAAGTTATAAGGAAAAATGAAGATCAGTGAGACAATCCCAAAATTTGTACCTGTACAGTAGAATGGGATAAATGGCAAGTTGATTTGGTCAATTAAAATAATAAGAAAAATAAAATATCAATTGATTAAAACAATAAGCCAAATTGGCTCTTACTTGCTCCTATGTTTGTTATTAAAATAATAAGTATATCCAGTAAACACCAAGTAACGGTAATATTACATCAATATAATTGTTCACTGGACAATATGTAATTGTTACGTCACACTCGCGTTGTATTGCGTTCACACTGTTGAATAGGAATTCTAACATTGATGTTACTGGATAGTCAGTATTTACAGGATACATTAAGAAATAGGATCTGTGATTTTTCTACGCGTTGTCGAGAAGGTCTCTCACATATACTTGAAATCTGACGTCTCTTATCATGCACTGACAACGTTACAAACAAATTTATCTAAGCAACGTAATTATTCTCTGCGCGGTCTACTCTGATCTCGCGATATCGCATAATATCGTGTAGTGAAAAAAGTTTCCGTGTTCGCAGAGAGTCGAGATATGAGGAGCAACCGATACAGTCTACCTCCCAGAATGAACTTGGACGACGGAACGTCGAGCAGCAACAACAACAATAACAACAATAGCATTAACGGCGCCAGGTGAGTGCTGCGTCGCGTCGAGTCCCGTGGGGTGACAGATGCGAGCCTCGTAGCGTTGTAGTTGAAAGATAATGATTTCATCCTTTCAGGTTCAACGGGGACCCGTATGTGCCGTCCGTTTCGCGCGGCACGTTCGGCAGATACGCCGCGGCGCGACCGCCCTGTTCCATGGCAAATGTAAGTACGACAATGTAGAACAATATGAGGTGTAACGGCGCGATCCCCTCTCTCTGTCTCTCTCTCAGGTATTCTATCGTAACGATGCCGACACACGCGACATGTCTCTCCCGCTTAGAAAATCGTGATCGTGTCGCGAAAGCGCAGCGAGACTGTTCTCTCGCGTGTGCTGCAAGTGTCACTGAGAGCGGGACGGACTTCTTTTCGGGATCGAGCGGGATCTAAATATTCATCTTTCAATTACGTCAAATGTAGTCAAGCGTGAGGAGAAGCACTCTTTCGGCGAAATGAATAATGCATCATGCATAAATCTGTCTTTCTCGCTTAAGTTTAATGTCGGCGCACACTCGGCGACTAATCTCGATCTGTCTTAGCTTTTAGTGTGTTCTTTTCTATACTCGCGAGAAAAAGAGAGCGCCGCGGCTTTTAAATGTTATAACACATCGCAACCGGACTAATCGATCATATGTCTCGACGCTTTCTTTTAGATAATCCATAACACAGCGATGCTTGGTCAATCAGCCGAGCGCACCGGGTGAGTAGAATTCATGCAGTGATCGTCGAGAGACGTTCCGCAATCCGAGCCTGTAAACCGCTTGCCTTAATTTTCTTTGATATATCTAACGAATGATTATTATATTATGTAATAACGATCTTGCGCGCGCGCGCGCACACGCATGCATATACACATACACACACATGTGAGAATATTACACATCGTGTATAATAACATTCTTCATGTCGTGACGTGGAAAGATTACTAACTCGGAGTTTGCTAACGAGGCTTCATCTTTGTTCTCTTTTTTTTTCAAAGAGAGAGAGCGGGAAACCTCGAGAGAAGCTTTATCCGTGAAATAATTATTCGACGGACGTAACAAATTTTTTAATTTATTTATTTTCACAGTGTCGCACCGTAAGCAATCTTCCTCTTTTTTTTTTTTTAACGGAAGGGTCGTTCGAGCTTTTATTAATTCCATTCAGGACATTCAGAATGTCCGAAACGCTTCGAAATAATTATCAGCCGTGATAACGCTGCATCATGTCGATGACTGTTCATCCGCCAATTTTATCATTCGCGATCATTCAAATCACACGCCAACTAATTCCTTGATTAAGTGCGAACATTCACGTTTAATTGAGTGTTCAATTGCAAGTGTGATAATTCATTCGTTGGCTCAGGTGCCGAAACATTTTTACACTGAATACACGTAAACGCTACCTCTTGCCAGGGCATATTTAGGCGGGCGTTAAGTATTTCCGGGTCACCTCGGTCATCCAAATCCCAGATTTCACTCGCACGAGTTCAAAATGGGATCGTCGATCTCGCGAACCCGCGTCTTTCTTCTTTCTTTATATCGAAAGAGATGTAAATAACGCGCGTAAAATTGATATATATTTTTTCAAATGAGAACGTATCGTACTCATTAATCCTCGAGACATACCTGATTAATGATAAGCGCATAATGTATCTAACTTAAAATCTGTATATCATATTAAAACGGTTAATTTTTCGACTGACTTATTTTCACTGCACGCTTGTGCAGGAAGGAAAGAATATCAAATCAGATAGTTGTATAGTCAATTAAAATTTGTCGTTCCGTGTTGCGAGACGTTGTGGACTTTGTAACATAGAGCTCAAAAAGGTACGATTGTAATTTTAATTTAAAGTACGCTGACAGAAATAAGTTAGGAGCATTCTAGAGGTTAGAAGAGGAAAAAAACATCATCTTGTTGCGAATGATAACGTGTAAATATGAATTAGTTATGCAAAGCGAGAGGGATAGCGAGATACGGACAATGTCGGACCTTTCTTTTCTTTTGCGCGCTTAAAACCCAGGACTCGTTTACATTCCAGCTTAATTTATACATGAATATGTACATTATATTTATTTAATGCACTTTGTGTAAATTATAGTTCGTAAGTTTCTCTATGTAATCACAACCAGCACCTATATATACATATACGTATGAGTTAATAAAATTTTATTTACTGATTTTGCACACGTAGTCGTAATTGACTTTGTCTTAGATCGATAGATATACAAGTGGAAAAAGAAATATATGTGCTGTGCAATCGAGACAATTCCAGTATATTATTTTTGCATGTTCTGCGCATGCAAAACACCAGAGCCCTTCCATATTATTCGGCACGTAGTGAATTTCACACTTATAATGTAAGACAGTGAGTGACACGATTTTTTTGAGTATTTATAAGCGAGTGATATGATTTTTTTGAATGTTTGATTTTAGTAATTATTGGCATGAGCGAAGCATGCTTCTTGTCGTTAAGTGCGCATATTATTGTACGAAATGGACTTTTGTACATACTCTCTGTGTTGCTGCTGTGAAATTGTATTACCTATAGGATTAATACTGATGTCAACGAATGATGTTCATTGTGAACCTATTTATTTAATCGCATTGTTCTCCGGCATGTTTTTGCTATCGTTTTTTACGATGTTCCCTCCCAATCACTCCTTTGTTAATGCAGAATGTTAAGTGCTATTAAATAACAAAATACATAACAGAATAGCCAAAGTTTGCGCTGAAAGAGGTCAAAGCCTTCAGGCTTATCTACTGTTTTCGAATATAATATCATCATCTCTGCTGTATTAACAAACGCGATCGCTAAAACCAATTAATACACGACTACCACCAGATGTATGTATTAAATCGGTGTAAAAGATTTGTAATTTTTTCTGTTAAATTCTCGTAGCAGGTTATTAAAAGTATAATTCTTAGAAACAGAAAGTTTTTGTTAGATTTCAAAAAAATGCCGAGTCAATGTTGCTCATTTTATAGGTAACAGTTATTGATCCTTTGAAATTGAATAATTTTGCTTTCTATCTTATTTGACAAGCATGACAACCTTCTGCATCAACTTAATACTAAGATTAGGCGTGAAACAACGAACTGTTTTATCGGAATTGGTTATTCTGCATCGCATAAGAAGTGTGTGCAATGAATGAGGCCGAATTCTTCTCGAAAAGAGAATAGGGAATGAAATGAGATGAGTGAACTCGCAATTGAAGTGTCAGCGAGATGTGATTGCATGCTGCTTGCAACGTGTTCAGGTCGTCCAGGCAACTGTGTGACACGGTTTGACGGGCAAGTTGATTTTTCAGCGACGAGAGTAACAGCGCGTCGTCGCCACCGCAACAATTGCAGCAGCCTCCGCTGCCGCCGCCGCCACCAGCTCCGCTGAAGCTGGAACGACCACGTTCCTTGAGTCTCTATTCCGAAGAGGAACAGAAGCAACGCAGTATCGAGATGACCACCGTGCCGACGCCCGCCGTACCGGACAATCAGCCGTTTGTTCCGATCCTGTTAGAGACAGAGAAGACGGAGAAGAACGTGAAGCCGTCGCCGTCGTGCGGCCAAGAGGTCACCGGTACCAATCAACACGGACACCTAGACCTCAAGTTCTACCATTCGCCTTTGTGGTGAAATTCCTCGTCCGACATTCCTCTTTCAAGCTGCTACTCATTTCACGAACGGATCGGACCAAGTCGAGTTAGCATTAAACACGGTTGACGCGATTTTCTTTTCCTCGCTGTAGGTAGAAGTGCAAATCTAGAGAAATATGAGAGACTAACTCAGCGCTAACTCAGGATAGAGACACTTGCGGCCCGCGGATCAGTCCACGCTGCCGCGATCCGAGTCGGAGGATGCATTGTCACGTCTCAATTTCGACGCTCTTCTCGCTGTGAGAGGAAGCAACGACATTCCGCACCCTACGAGGAATTGAATGTAGATTGAAGGGAATTAACGAGGAGTCAGATTCGTTGCAGACTCTGTTTCTATGTTTCCTTGTGCTTATAATAGCAGAATCGTTCCTGTAATTCTCTCTGTGGAAGAGAATCCGCGTAATGACAACGTTTTTTCCCCAGATAGCACCCAAATAGCAAGATGATGTCAAATTATGTAGTAATTATATCATTAATGTTAAAAACGCCATTAATGTATCATTAAAATGTCACTTGACATTATCATGTTTGCTGGACTAAAATATCTTTTAAATATCTCAGAGACAGCTGAAAATATTTCTGCTTCTTTAAATGTCTCTGAGACGTATTTATAATATTTACGCTATCTGGGTCGTTAAAGAAACTGAATTGTCAGTTCCTCGTTATTTTACGAAAATTAACGCGCTTGCAATCAAAAACACAGAAGAAATACAGAAAAGCTATCAAACAGAAAGACATTCAAAGCTTCTTATTCTTGATTTCGAAGATTTGATAATTACTTCGCCACGGATCGAATATCCGCGTTGATACTTTTTAATCTTGGATGAATGCGTATGTGTGTGTGCGTGTGTGTGCGTGTGCGGATAAACTTATATAGTAGAGTATATTTGGCATGTGGTTGGAATGGATCACAAATTCATATCTATTCGAGGAATAAATTAATAAATATGAATAAAAAGCCAGCGCGAAGAAACACGACGAATATCGATAAATTGTTGCCGCATTTTCAGAGAGGAAATACAGTCACCCTCTAAATATAGAGGATAGTTCTAGATTATCCTGTTATGAAGGGACCTCGTGTAGCAACATAAGCTTTTGTGGCTTTTACAATTTTATGTCGAGACAACAGTTATTTTCTTTTTTTTTTTTAATAAAATGTAGATTTTGTAGAAACGTATAAGAGAGAGAAAGAGAAGGAGAGCTGATAAGGTGTACCAGATCTGTCTATGTATTTTCGTCAGGAAAATTTATCGCGTTTATTCGACCAATTTATATGTCATCGATAGAATTTAAGTTAACAAGTATGTACGATAATTTATAAACGCGGAAACAGTGACATAATAATGTAGACACAATTGTCACTTTACTGTACAGAGTGTGTACGAATTCGTAGGGAAGTGCACTCAAGCGCATGCGCGGCGCTACTCCTTGTAAATCGAAATAATTTATTTATTTATTTATTTATTTGTATTCAATGTGTCGGGTAAATGAAAACTACTGCATGTCATGCGGTATTTCCGCGTATGTACAATGTCTTCGCTTCGAATCGATATGACTGATATACTTGTTAAACAGTGCACATGTAATACGTAGGCATAAAACGCTTTTACGTACACAAAACACTGATCAATATTATAATATGCATGAAAATTAGTCTCTAGTTATTATATCGATATCGTAGAGCCAGCACACACACTACGAGTAGAATTGAGACGTACGAATACATTAGCATACATTTGCATTCAATAAAAGACTGTCGTAAAATCTGTCGTAAAATTAAAACGCACAGTATATCATGTGTGAGTGTATAACATCAAAAGATTCATTAACATTTCAGGATGTACAATCCAAATAGCGGGACATTCTGCAAAGATTACAAGGACTACTATTAAAGAAATGGATCAATGTGGACGGATAAGTTTTTTGTCGGGGTCCCAATAACTTGCAAATGTTCCATAAATATAATGTAATGAGATTGATAATTAATTGGTGCATGTAGGGGTACAATAAGTTTAGACAAACAATCAGGCAGCGATATCTGTGTCACACTTCATAGCTGAACAAGTTTTATATAATAATCAATTTTTAGAGAGAAAAAAGCGGTAGGCGTGCATTGTTCCGAAAAAAATATACCGAAATGTAAAAAGTAGGACAATTGTCCAAAAAGTCATAATATCGAAATTTGAGTACCGATATAATTGCTCAAAATACGATTTTACCAAAACATTAGTAGCATACAATTTGTTCTCGAAAAGTTATATTATTGAAATCCGAATACCGAAACAAATTACCGAAATGTAGGAAACATACCATTTTCTCAAGAAATCACAATAACGAATCGCAGAAACAATATATCCATGGAGTATATTGAAAGTACATATAATATGACGTAAAACAATATTCAAGTTATATACAGATATAGACAGTATGCTGAAAAGTACAAAGTGTTGTCATCACCATATTTTAAAATGTAGAATATTTTTGACATCAAGGTAAAAGGAGACCAATTTTTATTTTCATTACTTAATAGTGTTAGTTGGGTGTGTATATGTGTATGTGCGCGTATGTGTGTGTACAAGATGCTATTATAATATTTGAAAAAATTAAGAAAGATTGCTTGAAACTAAGACGCAGTCTAAAAATATTATTTCCACTATTATTTAAAATATTATTTCTCGCGATTCTCGATAAATCAAATGACATCAGCAAGATTCTCTATTTATAAAAAATTACGAACGAACAGTTTGATTAATGGAAGATACCATCGCACGATATATCATAGTCATGAATCAAGTCGAAAAACGACAATGACCTCTGGATATATTTATAAATATGAATACATATCTTCTCTCTTTTCCCGTTGGTGTTGAAAACTATGTACTTTTTAGCATGCTATATATATATAACTTAAAGGTAAAATAAGGCTTCACACCATTACATACATTTTCAAAATACTTTATGAATGTTTTGTTTGCGTATTTTGTTATTATGGCCTTTTGGGAAAATTGAGTGCTTCCAATATTTCAGCGATTTGTCTCCGTATTCGAATTTCGGTAACTTTTCGAGCAAATTGTATACTACCATACTTCGGTAAAATTGTATTTCGACCGATTGTCTCGGTATGCGAATTTCGGTATTATAACACTTTTCGGACAAATTATTTCCGTTCTAAAATTTCGGGACAATGCATATCCATCAAAAGAGCGATACACGAACAACTTCATAAACGAAAAGACAACTCCGATAATATAACGTTAAAAATAAAAATATCTTTGTCCTTTATTCGAATAAAGAAGAAATAAATAGATAAAGATAAAGAAAAACGTTCGTTTATTTTATAATATTCAACGAATTTACAAAATTATATTTGTTATAATTTTCCTTAAGTTATATATTTTCTATCCGTTTAAATCTTTCACTTTTACCAAATCGTATAAAATCACTGTCATGTATATAATACATATATATATATATATATATTACATGATAGAGAATAAATACATAAATATACCAATAAAATATTACCAATAAAAGGAACAAATGCCATACAAATATGTATCAATATTAAGATTCAAACATCGAATTCGGGTCCAGACATTTTCTCCTCAGTCATCCAGGAAACTAAATTAACGCAAGTCTCTTGATCTAAATATACATAACCTACTATCAGGCCTTCCAAGATACCAAGAGCTATACCCGCCAGAACATCCAATATATAATGTCTTCTCATCAGAATTCTAGATATGTATATCGAAATGGACCATGCTAGCAAAGGTGGTACAAATATCGAAGCTACAGGCCACAGATATATAAACAAATATACAATAAATGTTACACGTGATGCATGCCCAGATGGAAAGGAATATTTATCAGGACCCATGGAAAAAGGATCGTCGTTAACTGCAGGCCGTCTCCTTCTCGTTATCCCCTTCACTATGCAGAGGAAAATTACATCTAATACCAAGCCTGAAAATAATTTCCTTCTTGACATATGTTCCTCGTATGCTATACATGTATTATTAATTTTATTCTGGATTTACCTAGCAAAAGATTTACTTGCAACTGATAGTACTTCTTGTCAGCTAAAACCCAGATAAACATGAAGGTACCTACGAGCCATAATATACCATGACATGATATCTACAAAAAGATAATGGATAAGTTACACGGTATGCATATATAAAGTAAAAATATTACTAATTATTGAATTATTAATAATTTATTTGATCAAGAAGTCAGTAATCCTACCTCCAGAGTTCTATAATGTGTTTTCATTTGTGAGAAAGGAAAAAAATGCTCTAGCTGCTTAACGAAAACATTGGTTGCATAGATGTCACCCATTAAAATATTCTTCAACATTGATGGTACTTTCCTTTTTTGCTACAATGTAAAATAAAGAATTTTTTCTCTTTACAATTTTATATGTTTGTAAAAATGAATGAAGTGATAAAACTTAAGACTTAAAGACCATTTAAAGAAAAAATGGCAATAAAAATACAAAACAAAGTTTATATAAATGCAAAATACTGCAGATGCTAAATACAGGATAAATTTTATTAATATCAAATAATAGAATATAATAGAAATCAGAAAACAAAAGTGTTTAAGCATAAATAATAAAACAATTATAAATAACTGATACATACTTCATCCATGTTGCTTCTTCTGTAGCTGGCAGAGAAATGTTTCAGAGTGCTTGCACGTCAATAAGTTTCGCCATCTGTACTGATAAACAATTGTTGAGTAACTGGCATTCGAAGAAGAAATATCATGGACCGTGATGTCACGGTGTACTGACGGGGATAATCTCCTTCACGATAACAGCCGTTTTGCACATGCGTGAAGAACATAGAAATAACGCACGACTTCCAATTACGGACCTAGTAATTGCAATACAGGTAACAAGCAATACAGTAACAAGCAATACAGGTATCCATAGGGTCCCATAGGGTGTCCCTATGGGACCTTGCACTTTACCCGCGTTTCTTCCACGAATAACGGTTAGGTTATGGATGCGTTCAGCAGAGAAAGCTGATTTGCAACTGTGTAAAATTCGTGAATCTGATTGGTACATGCTCTTGTATTTAACCAAAATTAAGAGCATACTCCAATCAGATTCATGAATTTTATACAGTTGCAAAGTAGTTTCTCTGCTGAACGCAACCTATTAGCGTGTTCGACTGGCCCTGGGTTAATCGCTCCGAGAGCGATTAATGACGTCATAAGTCTCTACTAGCCAATCATAAAGCTTATAAATACTTGTTCGACCAATAAACGTAGACTAAATAACTTGGAGTGAGTTAACCCAGAGCCAGTCGAACATGCTATATATTTCGCAATATGTAAGCAATAAATGTGAAGTTAATAAATTAATACTAATATAAATTAATATACTTATCTTGCTGGTTTTCTGTAATTTCCCTTATTCTTGCAACAAATGTTGGTACTCGTGTGATTAATCGGCTGCAGACGTTACAAAATAATAAAATTATCGTTCATGAACAGCATTTTGTTTCTTTCACAGAAACTTTTTCCCCCTACAATTCCTTCGAATTTTCTTTCAGGCAAAGGACTTTACGATACCTTAAAATAAGTACGGCACTGACGCCACAGCGTTTACTCAATGCGCGTGCGCGAATAATTCTCCCAATATCACTTACATTAGCTATATTCAGCGAGAAAACAGCTCAGTGACCGCTTAGTGATTGTCTGTGATTAAATTCTTTTAAATTCTTCATAGACTCAATAGGAATATTTACTAATCAGCGCTCCCTGTCCTTTCCGCTGAATGTAATCATTAATCTAGTCATTGAATAATAGTCATTGAACAAACTGGAACCAGCACTATGTCAATACTTTTTGCCCAATGAGCCGAGCCGGACCGGAAGAGATAATGTCTATTTGTCTCCGTCTTTGTTTTTCACGTATTACGTCAATTGAAAAATACGTCAACTAGAAACGTCAGCTAAAATCTACGTCTACATGGTGTTGTAATTATTTCCTGAAACATTTTCCCTAAATCTATTTTTATAATATTTTATTACATACTCATTGTTCAAACAACGATATTCTGACGGTTAGGCGACAGTTTCCCGAAAAGTGGAGAGGATAATGTTGGTACCAAGGAAAATTTCTACACGATATAATTTAAAGATCTGGGCCTTTATTCTTGAAATAGTTGCGTATACATAAGTTTTACTGCGCAGTTTACTCATACCATAAAATAGCTGCGCAACAAAACGCATATTACGTATACGCAAAACTTTCAAGAATATGGGTCCTATTGTTTGTAACTGAACTGCTGAACTAATGCAAAAGGTTAGAGTGAGAAAACGTATACTTGCCTCACTTCCCCAGACAGCATAAAATCTTCAGAGAATGTTCTAGGACGTTCTTAGAATGTATGAATGTCTTTAGAACATCCTTAGAATATTCTTTGAAGAACGTTCTAAGAATGTTCTTTGTACTATATGGGTCAATTTATTGCACCAGTTCAGCAGTGCAGTTACTAAGAACAGAATCTTTAAATTATATCATATAGAGATTTTCCTTGAAATCAACATTATCCCCTCCACTTTTCGGGAAACTGTCGCCTAACCACTCTGGGCTACGTTCAAATTCCACACCCGGGTATATTCTATTACTAGAAGTGCTATAGTATATGTAATATATACTATAGTGTTTCTAGTAATAGAGTACACCCGGATGAAGAATCTGAACGTACACTTAGGGCTGCGTTCAGATTCCCCACCCGGATGTATTCTATTACTAGAAGTGCTATAGTATATGTCACATATACTATAGTGTTTCTAGTAATAGAGTGCACCCGGATGAGGAATCTGAACGCACTCTAGGTGAGAGGGGTATATACTCAGGCATGCGGGGGAACTGCTCGTCGCCATATTGGTTTCTATCAGCTCACACATAGACACATGTCAATGATATTCCCACGTTCGCTGTTGGTGTCTCGGGCGTCTAAAGATGCTTTTACATAGAAGCGTCGAGCGTCAAGTGTTGAGCACATGCATAGTAATATATAATGAGTTGTTGCTGAAACGCAAGATGAATTTGATTACTTACTGAACTGTCAGTTAAATTTCGAGATATTTATTAGCAATTTAGAAAAAACTGCAAGATCCTATCAGAAAAAGTATGTGTTAACTATGAAAATCTCGAATGTATCGAAGTGGGTGAAGCCTTTTTTCCGCGACGCTAATTGGCCGTCTCGACTGTCTCGATTGTCTCGATCCCGTCGCAGTTGAATTCGTGCCGCTTGCAGCTGTCAGCCGCGGTGACAGATCAGGTTGTGTTGTTCGCGTCATATAAATTTGATATTTATTGTAATCCCAGCAAACACAATGTTACATGTAACATAAATGTTAGTTGTAATTTCTTACTCAACAAACAATGTAACTGTTATATAATATACGTGTTATATAACAGTTACATTGTTGAATAGGAAATTATAATTAACATGTATGTTATATGTAACATTGTGTTTGCTGGGAATATAATTTATAAAAACGAGTATTGTAATATAAATTGTAAATAGTACAACGAAAAGGCTAAAGTGGCGCGCGCTATGTGGTGTTATAGTATTACAAAATATCTGTTAATTATCGGCATCATTTGTGCTTATTAAAATGCAATAGCATTATCAGTAATGAATATTACAAACAAAACTTGGAGTTAATTGCATTAATATCTCTAATTGCAAATGCAATATGAGCAAAACAAAAAAAAAGGGTTTTGGGTGTTACATATATTCGTAGGAAGAAAGAGACACGGATTCTATTATGCAATATTGCCCTAATAGCATCAAGATGCTGAAATCTGAACGATTTAGATTTATGTGCAAAGGTGCTGCGTACGAGTTTGACGCTCGACCACTAAAATATATACTATCTGAAACGCGTGCTGCCTCTTGAGGTATGCGGGATGAGAGAGAACATGCTTGTAGGTCTCGTATGATTCGTACGGATGTTATACATATCATATTATGATTAAAAATATTTGAAAATTTATTTAAAACAATAATACTTTAAATATAATAACATACTATGAACAAGCCTTAGTATGCACTCAGTCCGCACTAGTGCAAGCAACCGAATTCGCTATAAACCCAGCGGCACACGGTGCTTGTTTTCATGCTGGATTGCTTGCTGCGTGCAAATACTCTGTTTTGATTGGTGAATTTCTATCCATCTTCACAGATGCGCCAATCAGAACAGAATATTTCCATCCAGCAAGCAAACCAATACGAAAACAAGTATTGTGTGCCGCTGGCTTTACTGTAACTTATTGCACCAAATGTACGAATTCAAATAGTCTAGCTAAAAAGAACAGACTTGATGTAAAAATTTTGATATTACGCGACCACTTAGTGTATCCAAGTAGTTCATATTACAAAGTTAAAAATATAAAGTAACACTTCTTTTTCGTTTTATTCTATTTATATCTCTTTATAAAAATCTTTTAATTAATCCACTACAAGAATTTTTCCATGAACACACTTCGACGAACGGCGTTGTTGCAACCTTCTTTATATTTATACCATATTCCATGCTTTGTTAAGACATTTTGCATTAGAGAATATCCTTTTTGAGACCTCGGTGAAATACGATTGGTCGTTTTGTTCTGCTTCTGAGCGTTCTTGTTCTCACTTGTGATAATATTCCCAAAGAAATCTTTGTACACCTGAAATAATCGCCATGAAATACGCAAAATTGATGATAATATTACTGTAAACTTTCTTAGTTATATTACATATAAAAAAAACAAGTGGGACAACTCACTACTTCCTTTAACGATGTCTCATTCTTCCCAAATTGTTTAGCATTAGTCGAACCATTGGAAGATTTATCTTGAATTTTTTCTGTAATCACAGGATTTTTCGAATTCGTTACATTTTCAGTATTATTAATTTCACCGAGACCCATCGAGATACTCGCACGTTTCAAACGTTCAACCTCCAGTTCCTGCGTGATTATCTGCTGTACAGCGTACGCGAGACACCGATGCACGTTGCAGTTAGGAAGAATACCGATGTCCAAAATGTTTCTAAGGAAGAAACACAATTACTTTTCTAAAGATTATTCACAAAGTTATCACTATTATAACTTACGGATCTATGTTGTAAATATATCCGCCTTGGGGATTTTTCTCTTGCACGAAGGACAAGCCAAATTCGAGCATCACGTTCACTATTCTAACGAGATCAGCCTTTTCTTTCGATGAATATAAGTGAGAAGGAACCGTGCGTAGTTTTGGTGCCAGAAGATCCGGCAAGAAACTGGCGACATCCATAGTCAAGGTGAAAGCGTCACGTCCACACGCTTTTCGTATCGCCGTCAGAATACCCGTGTTCTTCGCTGATCTTTGAGTCACCTACGGCACAATGTTAAATAATATTGAGTTGTGCAATGAGTAATTTCGGATTCTTCAGGTCAAATGAAATGTTCGTATTTTTGTCGTTATCATTTTGACATATTGCATGTGTCGTTTTAATCTTTTGACATCTTTCGCATATGTTATTTCATAAAATGATAACGGTATAAAAATACAATCCTTTTTTATCTGGAAAATCCAAAATTACTTATTACAAGACCCAGTAATAAGTTCACTTATATAATAACACAAAGTGATGATAAGTTTACACACATTGTGTCTGTTGATTGGATTTAATACTCACTTCGTTGAAAACCGTAGGATAAGATAATTTCACTTTCTGCGTGCGCGCCAAATGCAAATGCCATGCAATGAATCCGTAATTGGTGTAAGGCATGAGCGACCAGACCTGCTTGTGCATAACGAGCGATGTTATCAGATCGTAAAATTGAAACCACTCCAGCGACGTGGACATATTGTCGAGTTTTCGGTCGCATATTTCAGGATAATTATGAAATATTCCTTGCGCCAACTTTTCCGTTTCACCTGACGGAAAGTATCTCGATTGTAATATGTTTGAATATTTACATTAAAATTTGTAATGATCCCGAATTGCTCCTAGTTATGATAAGCCACACAGGATTATTCTCGTATAATTACCATTTTGCACCGTTTTCAAGATATTCTCGATTCTCTCGGAAATGGGAACGATTCCTCCTCTGTGCATAGGGATCGTTAGGATGCTTTTCCAAGAGTCGAATAAGTTTTTACGAGTGTCTTTAAGACCTAGAGATAAGTTATCCTTTAAATCAGTATTACCCATGTATTGTATCGCTCCTACGCAGGATCGTACGTCACAGGCGGATCTCTCTGCTATTTTGACGAGATCGCCGAAATCTAAGTTCAAGTTTTCTTTCCTCCCTATTTCCATTAGACGTTCAGCTAATCTCAAGGGACTTACTTCCGGCACTGGTATTATCACAGCGGCAGCTCTCAACGTTCTGTCAGTTTCAAGATATGAGACATGCTTCCAGGTCAAAGTATTATATGTGAGACAATTGTTAATTTTTCTTATGCAGGTTTTCGGTTGTACCAATCTCTTAATAAGCTAATTAATAGTTAAATCATATGTTTTTGTTTATTTTGAAGGAAAAACAACACTGTTAGCTTACCACTAGGTTGGTGCAGCCGGGCCTTAGCACTTTTAATTAAAATCACCTTAACGTTGGCGCGTACGGTTCGTTGCAGATGCACATCACAGGGCGCGTACAGCCGTTTGATGTCTTTTCCGGCTGACCCTTTTCCTTTTTAGTTTTCGGTGCCAGTTTCCCTTGGACAAATTTCAATAGAAGCTCGATGGACGCAGCCGGTGCGCCGTCGATCTCATCGAAGATCAAACAATTCGGCCGCGGATCAGCACCCATCACAGCTCTCATTTCTGTCGATGCGAGAAGGATCTGCCTAAACGAAAATGCAATAACACAATGTAAACGTAATAAGACAATGTAATCACACGAATTATATAGCACAAGTTTTATGTATTACCTGAACGTATCCGGACTTCTTTCGTCGCTCGCGTTGATTTCGACAACGTTATAGCCGGCGTGTCTTGCCGCTATATGAGCCAAGGTCGTTTTTCCTAATCCTGGTGGTCCACTGAGTAAAGCTATCTTCTTCAATGGATATCCTTTACTATCCACTTCCTCAACTTCCTCGTCATTCTGGTCTTTTTTCGCCCCGAACTGGGAAATTTTTGTCTTCTTCTTTGTTTTATTGACGTTTCGATTAAATACTATCTTGTCCCAAAGCTTCAGCCAATGTAAGAGCTCTCTGTTAACGGTTTCATCCGACAGTAATTCTATGTAGGATCGTGGTCGATACTTATCGACCCATAATTCGTCGTTGACTACGTCTCTTGTCTGTTGTGGATCTGTCGCTGTTTGCATCGATAATTCTTTCTTCTTTGCTATCTACAAGATTATGATGTAATAAGTACTATCGCTTAAAGATATGATTAAAAAAGAAAGTTCAAAAATAGACGTACAACTTCTTCAGCTTGAGCTTTCAACTGTCTGTAGGGTACAGAGAGTAGATTGTTAATTAGCTTGGTAGATTGTTTGACATCATTCTGCACATTTCTAACTCTGACATAGAGACGTTGAGAGTCATATGTTCTTGTGACTGCTACAAAATTCCATGGTGGAACTCGCAAAGAAATGGAATTCTTCTTGCTATATTAAGCAGATAAAAATTAAGATTATATATTATATTGAAAACAAAGTTTACATTGTAATGATTAAAATGTATGTAAATATGACTATGAAATGTTACTGATTTACTTACTTTTCATTGTACCTTGTCCTCACCACTGTACTGCCAGTATGTTCATACATCAGTTGTCTAGCATTTAATATTTTTTTAATGACATCCTGAGGTTGGTCCCATCGAAGCTTCTTGTCCTTTGGTTCCTCAGAATCGACTGAAAATTCTTATAATATCTGGTCTTCAAGATATGATTTACAAGATGAGAAATATAATCCAGCACATAGTTATCCATAAATTTATCATACCTGAGATATCATTTCCTAAGAGATCACTGATATCGCCAAACAGTTCTTCGTAAGTACGTTTCCTACTACAGCTAGGTTTATTATTGTCAATAATTGAATCACAACTGACAGGAGTAGAGATTTCAACACTGGTTTGCTGTTTGTTTCTGTTTGTCGTTTGAGATATTCCACTGGGACCAGGTTGTGATGGTTGTGATGGTTGTTTTTTTATGAACTCATCTTCATGTAATTATAACCAATTACAAGTTAGTAACACAATTATAATACAAAATATAGACTTGTTGATATAAATATATGAAAAATGTGTTATTTATATAAATTTCTATACGCGTTTATCTTAGTCAAAATAAAATCGTTGCATGAATGTGTAAAATATAATCGTACTATTTACCTTCAAAGTCTCTCAAAGCCTCGTAGTCTGCTTGGTGAATCAAATCGAATTCTTCGTCCGGATCTGGAAATTCGTCGGCCATCGTGTAACCTAACAGCAATCAAGATCATAATGCGCGTAAACAAATTAATTAAATAACTGGCATTTTCGCGACGCAACTTTGCCTGACGTTTTTTCCCGCCTTTTATCACATTCCACATGACGCATATGCATAGGTTTGTTCTTTCTGTTGCATTTTCTATGATTTACATTAATCTCCTTTTTTCCTTAATATAAATTCTTACGGGAACATCAGGAAATACAGAAAAGGATAAAATAAACACTGTGGTGCAGTAATTAATATAGCGTTATAATTTTCGCATTATACAAAAGGTATGTCTGACTTGTCGTTGAGTTGTACTACGACTTAAATTCTTTGGAGTGAAAACAGTGGCGACTCGTAGAGGAGGCTGCAGAACTAATTTTAGAAATAATGTGTCTAAACTGACACGATAAGAATTCAATCAAGAAATTGCTTATTATACTGCAAAATTCTTGTTTTCTTCTCCCAAAACTAATCATATGACTCTAACAGAATTATCAAAATTACATTACTACAATTCTTATTAAAATCATGTAAGATTATTACATATTGTAGAAAATAAACATAGATTTTATTACAAGGAGGTAAGAATGTACCGCACGCGTGTATATAATTTGCATTTTAATATATCAGTTTAATGTCTTCTTTCGTTTATTCGTTACAACCTTTTACATATTTAATAAAATAGAAATATCTTGTAGTAAGAGCACATGAGGTCAGAACGAGTGAAGGTGCTTAGTCTCGTTGCAATTGCGATTCGATCTGATGCGCGCCATGTTTTGCACGCTGTGTCGGAGATTTTCGTAGCGATATTAGCTCGTATAAATTTCTTAAAACAATATCAAGCTCATCTCTCTATGATATCTCAATTCTATTATTGCACGTACTAAAGCATTCGGTCATATTCTTGCGCTTCCAATGTGTTTTACGCTTTATATTAATATAAAATTGTACGTATGTATAATATATATATGTAATTTCATTTGTTTATTTTTTTCATATTTAATTTTCTCATTTCATAAGCGAACATAACAAATTTTACAACCTCCACAAGCTTTGAACAATTAAATTAACGTATTAATATTTAAATAATGCGGGCGTCATCGTCAGTTACGCTCAAGCAATAAATGTTAAGATTCCGGATGGCACTATTTAACTATCTTTACAAAGCTGGACGGTTTATTGAGTGAGATTAACTAATAAACTGCATGACGATTTACATACGCTTTTCCCGATTAAGTTAGAAGCGCACCAAATAGTCACGATTGCAAGTCCCTACCTACAGTAAACATCATTATACTTTTATCTAGCAAGTAAAAATATAATAAAAAAAAAAACTTAATTTGTACTGTCACACTGTCATTCGATTTCTGTCGAACAGATTACCACGCAAGCTCGCCCTGACAGCACTGGACGTGGTGAGCATAACGTGGCGTAATAACGTCGTAGTGACGTGCTTGTAACGTTCTTGGCATGTCTGTGCAGACAGAGCGTGAGCAATCGTGACTCACATTAATGCATTCATAACTTCGTCGGAAGAAACGTATGCAAATTGTTATGCAAATGAGAATACTATGTCCGAACCTAATACCTAATACAGATTCTAATTGCAGAGTTTCTTTCATTGGAGGGAAACGTAAAGATATCTGCACGTACATTGATGTTCACCCGTCCCTAACTTATCTCAACATCACGCTACGAGCGTTACCTCCTTGCGTTGGAATCACGTCTCCCAAATGTCCCACTATTTACAAGTCCAGATCGTTCAGCGCGTCTTAGGCACGTGCTGGTTGTGTTCAGCAGAAAAAGCAGCTCGGTAAGCGCTCTGTGCTGCACGGCTGATTTTTTGTCGAACAACACTTAGTGGTTTATATTTTTCCAACAACTAAACGACCCAGCATACTAAAGGCATGTTGAAAGAAATGGCGACTGCTTAGTAAATATGTTGAAAAAGCGTAAAGTACCGTTCGGAGAAAAGTAAGTTTTCTGGAGGCAATGCTAATGTATGTTCTTGTCCCTTCTAAGCGTCAACTTCAACATGTTCGCAATCAGTGTCACACATGTTTAATGCACCGACCTCAAGTACATCTTTACTCAAAATTTAATATATTAATATATTTTTAACTTTGCTTAATATGTTTGCGACCAACGTTACATGTGTATAACATTTTTCTTGGTATATCCGCATATAAACAAATCTCGTTTGTTTTACATAATTACATGGAAACAAATGTATTGTGGTCTGTAAAGAGAATTTCCTAGGCAAACTGTGGGTTACCGAATTCATAGACACATATGTGCCGCCCAAGTGTCGATTAAATACCAACGCAAGAGGCTAACGACGATGACGACTGAGTGGAGATTCGACGCAAATCAATTAATTTGTAAAGATCAATGCTATCAAAACAAACTGTCGTACATTTATAATATTGACATAGTTATATTAAAATTGCACACCTCTTGATATGGAAGCACGATTCGTGTCAACATACCCTTCCCTAATGATCGGGTGTACACGCAAGTGTCCCGAGATAAACAGTGTGAAACAAGTTTCACGTTACCCAAAATCCTGCACGTATCATAATATGGAGAAGATTGCGTCAGCCTTTTGTGCAAAAGCACAATAAATATTTTTACAAAGATGTGCAAAAAAGTTATATCAAATTTCGTGCAGAGATTATCGTAGGCGTATAGAACAACGGTATTGAATTAAAATTATGCTATATGAACAGCGTGCATGAGGACCTTCGTTATGAAGACCTAGCTTAAATCCGCGTAGAACTGCATTTCGTAGTACTCTCTCACAGAGAATTATTCCCAGACTGTACAGGTGCCAGGTAAAGTTCGATACATCCGTTCGGAATTGTGGCGTCAAAGGCATATATCTCAACGTACAAATGCAATCTGTAGACGCTGACGCAGTATCCATTTCTTTATCTTCTATGACGCCCCAGGTAAGCTTTACAATTTGGACAATTGTGATGAACGTCCATGCACTCGTCCATGCAACAAGGAATTAAACAGCATCCTAACCAACATCTAAGTATGAAGAAAGGAAGAAACTTTTCAACCACACATATATATGATGCAATGTATAATCTGAATATTCTTTGTAACTACCCCAACAACGCTATGATGACTCCCGAAATATAGGCGATCATGCCGGGTTCCGTTTTCGTTGCTGTGTCGATCTCAGCGTGGCAATGTGGGCAGATTGTATGCGTGGATCCAGGTCCAAGAGGCACAATGGTTGTAACTATGGTAGGTCCATTCGCATCTAAATAAGATATAATAACGCAATTAAATACAAAAAAATATAATAAGAACAATGAGAGCCAATTACAAATGTAATTTGTTTGTATTTCATAATATAAAATACACACAGATATAAATTAATAAAATATCAACATTTCAACCATTTCTTGTGGTCATCCTTAGCCAAAATTATTAATACAAAACAAATTGTCAGTCAATAGAGTAGTAAAGTAAAACATATATAATAAATAAAAACATAGAAATTATGCTTTAAGTCGTATTTGTTGAGAAACACATCGATAACTAATATTTACTTTCTGCTATTAGATTTTACATAAGAAATATAAAGGAAGAAAGGTATAAATAATGTTTGTGTTTGCCTAATGTTTTTTCCCTACTTCTACTGCTACTTCTACTGCTTTCTACTTCTATTTGCTGCATTATTGTTACATGCACTTTGTGGTACTTTGTTTTATATTAATAATTTTGGTTTTTAAATATAACAATACTTGTATTCAATACTTGTATCCAATATTTAAATAACTTACATGTCTGTGCAGGTGTAAAAGGACTGGCAGGTGGAACACCTCCTACAGTTTGAGAATAAGCTGGTGGGGCATATGGAGGTGGTTCATAAGGTGGCGGTGGTCCGTTTTTATACATATTGCACAGGAGACTTCTTTATCTGGTATTATTAGAATGTCACACTTGTCAATATACAACTTCTTCTCCCACTAATGTTATATTATTATTAGTTTATCAATATGACCAGAAGATATGACAACATATCATGCAATAACATATAACTATACATGTATTGAAATCAGAAAGGTCTTGACATTTAAATATACAATCACATAAGAATAATATCGATTAATACAGATAATACAGACAAGAACATTATCGATTATGCATTAATATGTATCATTTAGCATCATCAATTGTTCAAACAAGCTGAACAGTTGCAAAAATAAAACAGTCATCATGGGGACATAATTGGATTATAAATTTTCGGCAAGTGACACGATAGCAGCCCGGTTATTTTATGTCCAAATCGAATTTTCCACGAAAACTCATGAAAACGAGCAAGATCGTGGTAATGAAGTCATAGAGGTGAGATCATAGAAAGATTAGAGACCAATAAAATAGATGGTCGCTTCACGCCCAAGGCCATTGTTCGAATATGTGCGAGTCGATTGCGAAATTCATAACGCGAATCCCGAATGACATCCCCGCCCTGTTTCGTCGCGAACAGACATGACGCTGTGTAACAAGCTACATAACGTTATGTCATAATCACTTACCGTCGTGTAGACACAAGGAAATCGATTCACCGTGAATTATCACGCTCGACCACTGTTCCTAATCTTTAAACACACACACACGCGGCACTCGCATACGCGCAATGGTAAACCCGAGCCGCTCCTGATTCCGCGTAAACAATGGATGATATCGCGCAAGTGTAGTAGGCGCCGCGATATCGCTTATTTCCACGAAGCTTCTGAGGCTTAACCCCAATTCACATCGTCATCGTCACTGAGAGAATCACACGGCTCGTTCTCACAGAATAAATAGTAAAAGTTGCCATTCACGCAATATGTGACAGAGCAAGTTTGTCTTCTTCTCCTTCTTCTTTTCTGTCTTTCTTTTTTAACGTTTAAATATCTCTCATGATTGAGACACAGTGTGTGTCGTTCTTTTCTCTTTCCTTCCACAATCTCATCCTGCTTCTCCTGAATTCTCCTATTTAATATATTAAATAGGAGAATAAAATTAAACGTTTTATATAAAATTAAACTGTTAAACGCAACCATTACGTGTTGTATAAATTATATATATATAAGAGTCGTTTGTGTTATTATTGTTGTTGATGTATGAAATATAATGAATATATTAAGTACGTATTATCAATACATACGTAATAGCGAATCTGTTAATAATATAAAGAAAGTTCATGAAGGAAAATAGTTTCTTCTACGAAGGAATAAAAATAACGATATTAAAATTATGCAATATTTATTTCTCGTTTGAATTGCCTCAAAGGCTGGCGATTCAGGGTGCTTTCCAACAAGCAACACCGAGCTATTTTATTGGCTGTGTATTATACCTTAAAAAGATATACAGCCAATGAAATGGCTGAAAGAACCTGAAAAATGGAGGACGTAATACGTCTCAATGACAAGTCGAACGGACAACTTATTTTCCGCAAGTGACACAACGTAACGATAGTCAGCCAAATTTTTTTAATAAGTTCGCGAATAGAAATTTTATCAATTCTCTCAAAGTTTCTCTATTTTAAATATATACCTGCTTCATTCTAAATCTAGAAATTGCAGGTAAATGTGACTAAACATATACACACACATCAGGTTTCCAAATAAATAAAACTGTACTTTGTAAAAAGAAAATAAAAGTGTAACAATATTAAAATATATTATATATGACATATTTTATCGGCTTAAAATTATTATAAATTTAAGGAATAAAAATTATTATAAATTTAAGGAATATATATCATTTTTGCGCGTACGTGCAATCGCTCTCTTTAAAATCTGTATTTATATGCTTGTATAAAATTTTGTTATTATTATTCTATATTGCTTTTACTTTATTAAGTAAAAAATAATATGAAAATAACATAAAATAATGTCATAGAGAGTATTTAAAGTTAGGCTACATGCAAAACGCCTATGATATATGTTGTATTTTAATTTGAAAAAAAATATATTGCATGTTGCTTTTCTAATTAGACTTTTTGGGTGTACTGATAACCACTAAAATAGAAAATATTTAAATTATATTTATATATTATCACTGTATGTATGTGTGTATATATGTGTGCTGTGTAGCTTGGCAATAACAATAATATTAATAATAGCAGTAATATTAATAATAATAACTTATTATCGATCGATATTGATTTGAACATTTTTATCATAGAGAAACATCATCCGTCCGCCAGGATACACTTTGTGCAAGAGCCTGGATTTTCGATTCACGCATCTTACACACGCCATGTTCTTTTACACCACTACTGTTATTAGCACAAAGTTCAACGGAGTAATTATCTACATATGAATTAGACAAAGTTAAGAAGCAATTTAATAACGCTGTATCCAGAATTACATCGATATTCAAAAGAAATGATTGAAGCCCCGGGGCACCTTCACTACTGTGCGATGGACCGTATGTATCTGAGCGCGTAAACTTTTAATAGTCTGATTATTTACTTTTCAATGCTTTCCATTCGAAAATCATTATAGCCTTGACGGATTTTTTTATCAGGAACCTTTTTGTCTCTCGAAACGTTCTCAATAATTTAACGGATGTCACAGTAGTGGTGGGACACCCTGTATATATATATATATATTTATATATTTATATATATACTATCTGTCGCCACTCTCGTCAGCCGTTGTGTCGTTATACAACTCGTTGATGCGTAATAATTATGCGACTTGCGAAAACATCTCATGCAAACGCAGCACAGACGGGGATGTAAGATAATCTACATGTACATGTACTCGTGAAATATCGGCAATTTATTAGGATCAAAAGAACTTTAGCATATCCAAACTTTTTTAAATCTGTGAAGAATTAAGTCACGATTGCCGTCGAGAGTGTAATTGAACGTTATGTACAAACGATTATTAATATTCCTTATTGTAATAGATTACATAGTTTTGCTGGTTTTTCTCTGTATATACGTCAGTCTTGAATTGCTTTTGCCAGAAAACACTATTTCTGCTGTGTTTGTGTGTGTATGTGCGCATGTGTGTGTGTGTGTGTGTGTGTGTGTGTGTGTGTGTGTGTGTGTGTGTGTAGAGAGTCCTTTATGAATATGTAGAAAAAGAATATGCGATTGAGCTCACATAATAAAGCTTCATCTACGATAATGTGATCAGCGTATTGCTCATCTCTCACAAAGCCCCGATGTCTCGATTTTATTTTATATTAAAGTTACGCACCTCGTGCAATTTAAAATAAAATCAAGAGTAAAAATATTATGACCGATGTTATGATAACAAAATCACTCAATGTTCATATTATGATCCATAAACATATTATGATCGATGTTATGATAGCAAGATCACTCAATGTCCGATGACTCTAACATTTATTATGTGATCATCCTTTTTCCACACACGTACTCTCCAATATGCATCCATTGATTACTCACATCTATAGCGAGTTTGTGTGTGATGCCGAAAAAAAGTTGTAAAACACTATATACTTATATAGAAACAGTTCGTTCCTTTGATTTTGCGTCTTAACACGCCTTAACACGCCTTAGCATGAGACCGCATATATCATAAATAGAAATGAAATCCAATATAATCTGCAAATAGAAGATAATCTATCTGTGTCCCCATTCCTCTCCTTATATACCATTAACGCTTTGCATTCCGTATTTCCACGATTTTACATTTCAGTCTCTTATGCTATTACTTTCTTCTCTTTATCCCGTTCGCATTCGATCGCACAGTCGTCAATGATGATGTTACCAATTACAGAAATGTAGCGATAATAATAATTCTGAGAATAAATCTCAATAACAATAATACAAATAATATGTGGTCATAATAATATTATTATATAATAATAATACACCTTAAAAACGTATGTACAATTTACCTACCCATGTTTTAAGTATCAATAAGATTCTACTACAAGTACTACAGATGAGAAGTGGAATAAGAGTTGCTTTAAATAATTACTTTTTACAAAATTACATTACAAAGTGGGCATATTGAAAAATCTGAGCGAGTTATCTATCTACCTAACTATCCACATGTACAGCTGCTAGAATTAGATTTACGCGGTGGCTTTATTACAGCTAAAGACTACCGGGAAAGTATATGTTTCCTTTTATGTTTCAGTTTATGAATAATTATTGCCATTGCAAAACTGAATCTATGACAAAATCGAGATGTTCTACATCGAATGCGACGTATACGTTTATACGCACATATACATATATGTGTATATTTATATATTTATACACACATATACACACATATATATATACATATTATTATCGCGCGCGTCCACACGATTCACGAAAAGTTTTTATACTCGTTCAATAATATATAAATAAATCATATAATCATATAATCGTACAATCTGTATAAATAATTTAGTAACAGTGCTGTGTGCTCTTTGAGATATGTATCGTCGAAGACTGATCGCATCATCGATACTAAAAAAAAGACACACAGTTCTCGCGGTAGGTCCATGTTACTCATAAGAAACCACGGAAAGAAACAATTGACTCGGTTCCTTTCTAAAATAGAAAAAAAATACTTCGATTACGCATCGAGTACGTACGCATAGTCACCGTGATGATATTAACTATTAACTCTCACTTCTTAACATACTTTACTAAAGGAGGGTCACGAGCCTAAGATGCTGCGAACCGCCTGGTCCAGCGCAGTGTCCTTTGAGTCACCGGACTGCGACGCGTTGCTGCTGTTGCTGTTACCGGACAGCGTGTTCGCGGGACGTTTTTTAAGATTGAGGATGCTGTCAATAGCGGACTGCACCTGCGCGGTAATGTCGTCGTGCTCGTCACCGGCATTCCCACTGCTATTGTTACTCGCCACGTGAACGCTACTCGGGCATTGCGTTTGCGAATGCAGGGCCAGGCCGTCTAAGCTGTCGGTATCCTCCAGGAGATCTCGCTCGAGATCGGTAGCGCTGCTCCAACGCTTCTCAAAGCTCGGAGTGGACTCTTGCTCGCAACTGTCTTTCATGATTGCATTTGAGATCCCGGGTACGACACTCGCATTAACGACATTGTCGCGACACTCGCCATTCGCTCGTGTTCTTTCAATTTTCGACGATTTCGTGACAGTCATAGTGCACGCACTGCTGCTACCACCGCCGTTATTATTGTTTTTACACTTCAATGTGTCTGTAGTGGATGGATATACACCTAGTTCCTTCTGGATCTCCAACCACTCATCGTAATCACCACTGGTACTGCTCGACGTCTTAATCACTGGTTTGCATTCTATCTCGTCACTCGGGAAGTCGTCCTCCAACTCGCGCTTCACAGACACGCTTACTAAAGACGGCGACGTCGTCAACTTGCTCTCCTCCATGAGACCAGGCTCGACTTTTGGCACCAACGGCTTTTCTTCTTTCTTAAACTCTTCTACAATTTCGATACAAGACATTTCAAAATACAAGACATTTCAAGACATTTGAAATTTTTCTACAGTAAAATATATATTTTATAGTTATAGTTAAAATATATATATGTATATATATATATATATATATATATATATATATATATAACATACTTTTGCAATTTTACCGGTTTAAAAACAATTGAATAATTATGTGCAATTACCGGTAACTTTCGCCTCTTGTTCTCGTAACCTGTTGAGGATACTTTGCTCTTCGGCTACAAATGTCCTATCGATCATCATTAGTTCTGATGTCTTCACCTCACGCTGTAATTTAATTTTAAAGACTTTAGTGATATTGTTAGTAACAAGAGATCTTGACTTATTAATAAAAACAGAAAAATATATAATACAGAAAGCAGAATATATATAGTAGTAATGTTAATAATATAAATCAGCTTATATATACATATAAATATTGTGAAGCATCTAATAGTATCAAGCGTGATCAATATGTGAAGAAATTTTCTGAAGATTAAACATACAAAATTGCAAATATTGTTATTTTATTATTTATACTTTAATTATTTAATTATACTTTATTTTATTATTTATTATTATATTTTTATTATTTTATTATTTATTAAGTTAATATTGTTATTATTTATACCGTAAATTATTATTAATTAGTAATTATTATTATTTATACCGTGCTTTCCATCAGCAGAAGGTACGTGTATTTGTTCATCATGGAATTAAATTTGGTCAGTAAATGCTTGGCAGTCTCTTCAAATAACTCGTCCGCATAATCCAAGTCCTTGGGGCTAAGTACCTGTTCATTTAAACAATGATACCTTACCAAACGTTTGCAAGCGTCGCCTTTACTTAAGAATGGTGTGCTCATATCTGGATTTGTTGCACCATTTTGATCCATCTTTAGCTGTTGCTCCATTCTGCAAGGTAAAAATGCTAATTAAATAATTGCTATCGCATCAAGTTCTCATTCGAAGATTACATTATAACTCGGACGTAAACTTATTATAGAAAATACTATGTAATTGGAGATACGTACAAGTCACTGCGATTTAATTGCCTATTGCAAATCGGACTAGTTGCAGGTCGTTTTACGCCTTGCCTCGGACTTATCAGAGGACTGTTGCTGGGACTGACAAGCTGCTTCGTCGTATTTCCACCGGTATTCACCGGACTCTGGTTTCTTTGCGTTCCCTTGGTCATCATTCTAGGTGAGGTTACCTGACTTGCAGGAGAGCTACTTTGCACCTGCACTTGAATAGGAGAGGAAAGTTCCTGCTTCGCGGGACTAGGTGTCTGTATGTTTGGTTTCATGTCTAACGGATCGGTTTGACATTGCGTGGATTGTTGCTGCAAGCCTGTTTGTTGTGTTTGCACCGATGCCAATTGTTGTGCGTTGCTCTGTAATTGCGGAGTCGCGGAGGAAATCGATGGCGAGAAGATCGGCATGTTTGTCGCGGAGGACGGATTCGATGTCTGATTTCCATGATTCTGATAAAACTTGTGCTGTTGTTGTTGCTGCTGCTGCTGCTGCTGTTTAATGTGCGTCTGATGCATGCTCTGTGTCCCAGTAGTCATCATAGTCTGCTGTCCTTGCGCGCTTTGTGGCACCTGTAATAAACGCGATTATGAAACATCACATTTTGGCACTTGGCAAAAGTTGTAGTGTACAAAAATATATAAACAAAAGTGATTATCTCTTCACAATAATCGCCCGCTTACCGTAATATTATTAATGTAACTGTTATTCGAGTTGCTCGATATCGACACCGACGTAGTGGGATTTAGATTCTGAGACGTGACCGGTATAGCAGCAGTGGTAGTCTGAGTCTGAGTTTGCACTGCCGACGTTTGGTTCTTAAATGAATTTTGCAGATGTATACTTGACGCTACTGTCGAGGGTACGTTTACACTGAAACTCGTCTCAGAAGCCTGTGTACGAAACAAACGATGCTTTTTAAAATACAAGTTTACTGAGCCAAACCTTCGTATATATTTTGTCATTGCAGCAGCTTGCGTTAAAAGTGATTGTTCATACTCGTATTTGTCATAATTAATATTAATAATATATGCGTGTTAGTTGACTGTCGCCAACCTCCCATGTGTGTGTGTAGTCGTTTTTATAAAGTCTACAATACTTTTTCTTACGAATTTACAGCATGCAATGATATTTACACTTCTGCTTATAGATTACTTTTGTACACCTATTTAAAAATTTGACTCTCAAAGCTCTCAAACCTCTCAATGCGCAGCTTGCGCACGTAGGTTTGCAATCTCGTTAACTTCGCGCTTTCAACTTGTGAACAAAAAAAAAATGTTGCAAATTTTATCCAAAAGCTATGCTTACTCTGTTGACAGAATGTGTAGTGGTGCTAACAACCTTTCCGCTGGCTATAATCTTTGCTTGCTCCTCGTACAATTTAGTCAATAACGCTTGATCACATTGTCCGCTAGCCTTACGCGATTGCATAGCTTGGATTTGTAACTGAATGTTTTTCAACAATTGCTGCTTTTGAGCAGGCAGCTGAATAGTCTGCACTCTTTGTACCATTTGTCCGTTTGAAGGAACTGACACGTGACCACCGGTGGAGGATGAGACCAAAGGACCATTGGAAATGATTTGATTCGGCTCGTTCTTAACAGTATTTGTACTCTGCGATACTGTCATACTGGGTTTATTGGAATTGTCAATTTTCTGCAGGTTGGACGTATTAGTCGTGACCATCGTTGGCCGAGTAACGGCTGACGTCTTCGTCGCCTATAAGATGAAAATGAAATTACAATATCATGCGGAGAAACGTCTAAAAACATGTTTCATTCGAACTTTTTGCGAGCGAGACGTTTTGAAGCGCGAGTATAACAACATATAATGAAAAAGATAATATTAGATTTGATTTCCGGGTTTGAGCCGCGTGGATTCATCTTTGTTTGATTCCGACGTTTCGTGAACATTTCAATTCGCTTCATCAAGGAGGAACGACCTACGAGATCTCGGCATCGGGTCCTTCCTCCCTGATGAAGCGGAAAATGCTCCCTGAAATGTTCGCGAAACGTCGAAATCAAACAAAGACGAATTCACGCGGCTCAAATCCGGAAACCAAATCTAATATGCATGGACACCGCGAAAGCCTAAAAAATCAAAAAAAGATAATAGTTTAAAATATACTGTCCAAATATAACATCTCACATGACAAAAATTAAGCTTCGACAAGTGTCTTAAACGAAACCTCGACATTTGTCTGCAAAGGGTGAAAGAATTTTTAGAAATTTAAGCAGTAATCGAGAAGATATTTGTAATAATCTCTTTCGAATTATAGAAATCGGATAAACAGATTGGATAGATACAGAAACAAAATGCAATCGTATACGTACTTGTGACGCAATGCTCTGAGTGCTGGTAGCAACCTTCCTCTTCACGACCTTCGTTTTCTTTGGTGGATTGTTAGTTCCTAAGTTCCTAATTTGTTGTTGATTCAGATTGTCAATGAATTGACTAGGAAAGCTAGAATTTTGTATCTGTATGTGATGCGGCATCTGCGACGGTGCGGCCTGCACCACGATGTTCTGAATGTTATTCTGGATTGTCGGAGCCCCGCCAGAACTGTTCACGATTATCTGGCTCGTCGGAGTGTTAATCTGAACGCCCTGCAAGTTCTGGTTATTCGCGTCCGGTTCGCCAATCACTATCTTCTGCGTTTGATTTTGATTCTGCGTCTGATTCGGCTGATTCAGATGTCCGGCTAAGAATTGCTGCAGAAGCTGCTGACTGATCACCTGCATCTGTCCGTTCGCGTTCGCGATCAATAGCTGATCGTTGGGATTGAGGTTGCTCAGCGCGTTCAGAATTTCCGGCGAGATTTTTGGCGCGCTGTTCAGTATGTTGTTCGTCGCAGAGTTCAGTTGCGTCGTAGTCTCCACTTTCTGAGATTCGTTCTGCTGGGTGGTATTGGAAGTGGGACCAGTCGTAATCAGTATATTCTGATTCGAAGCATTCTGCTGCGTGTTGGTTCCTTGTTGCACTACGTTGGCTGAATTCTGCGACTCGAAGTGATGCGCAGAGGAGAAAGTATTAGCCGACACGACCTTCTGTTGTTGGACATTCACATTTTGCTGTACGCTCGTGTTGTGTAGAACGGCCGACGTGTTCTGTTGCTGCAGACTAGTCATGACATTCTGCGGCGCGTGAGTTATATCGTTGATGCCCGACTGCAAGTTCTGCTCGATACTCTGGACATTACCGGACGTGTTCTGCTGCAACAAGTTAATCGTGTTCTGCTGTATGCTAGAATGCTGCAGAACGTTCATGGTATCATGTTGAAGAGTGTTACATGAAGTTTGTTGCTGCTGCAACATGTTCATGGAATTGTGATGAATGTTTGATCCAGAGCTCTGCAAATTTTGTTCGAAAATTTGCTGTACATTCTGTGTTTGCACGGTTTGTGCGGTGATCTGTTGATTGTGCTGATACAACGGTGACTCCTGTTGCAGCGTTATAGTTTCTTGTTGACTCGTTTGCTGAAGATTCTGATTGACTTTGGACATATGATCGCTTTGTATCGCTGTGTTGACAACGGGCAATGTCTTCTGGACGTGAGCGGCATGCTGCGCTTGCTGCGTCTGTTTTCCCAAGGTCTGTCGCACGTTCGTAGTTATACAAGAGTTCGTAAGTCGCACCTGACTAGACTTCTGCAGAGAAATGTTGGAATTTTGTTGATTGGAGCCCGCTTGACTCACGTTGGGCATTCGAGGATTAAATGATGCGGACGAAGGTTTCAACACGTCCGAGACGTTTAGAGGAGCGTTCAAGGACTGGATGTTCTTGGTCTGCATCAGATTTTGCACGTTGCCGCTCTTTGACGTTTGTATCTCCAGCGACTGCATAGAACTGAGGTTATTTTGGACGCAGATATTCGGCAGCGAATTGGTCGTTTCTTGCGAAACACTCGTACTCTTCTGCTGCTTATTGATCGACTTGGAACATATCTGGCCATGATGCGGACTAGTGGCACAAGTGACATTTTGTGAACACGTGGAACTCACGGTATTGGTGGAGACTTGGTTGCTAGCAGACGACTTCACGTACTTCTGCCTCTGCGGGGTTGTATTTTGGGTGGACTGCGGCGTGGTCGACGTTTGGCTGAAGAGTTGCGAGATGATTTGCGAGTTCTGTCCGCCGCTTTGAGTGAGAGATCGTATCAATGCCTGTGCGGTCGCCTGATCCATCTCAGGTTGATTAGGCTCCGGGGTGTGATGAAGAACCACTTTACCATCCTCTCCGACTGACAATCGCAAATGCCCCGAGATTGTATTTTGCACGGGCATCTGCAGCTGAGCGACCAGCTGACTGTTGAAGGTCTGTGACGCGGAAGCTTGCGTGTTCGTTGTATTCGATGCAGGTACTTGTGTTAGAGTCTGAGCAGAGCTAGCAGGAACTGTTCCTTGCGACGTGAGCTGGCCCAGAGGTATTACGGTGTTAGACTCGGTTTGCGATGTTTGACAAGAAACCTCCGTCTCGGTCGTCAAGTCGGTATCAAAAATATCATCGTCGTCCCCGATACCGGATATCTTCATAATACTAGCAAGATCTAATTTGGGCGGCTCGTCGTCTTTCCGCTTGGCCTTTTTCTTCTTCTTCGCCTTCTTCTTCGGAGGTGGCAACAAACTCTGATCCACGACGGTTTGCGTGCACGATGCGTTGCCCGTGGCGTTACCGGACGTAACTTGTGAGATTTGCGGCTGAGGACTCTGTACCATGGCATTCTGGATCACGATAGAATTGCCTGTACCTGAATTAGCTGCAGAACAGAATGGAAGGGGAAAATAGAACGCGTTAAATACATTAATCGAATTTCAGTTACACACACATTGACATCTGTGACATTGCGGTGCACATAACAATTCATCTTTTTCTCGGACTTACATGGCGCTGGACTAGATGGAGTGTGTCTTATCACTGGAGAAGCAGCTGAAGGAAATCCGTTAGGTACAGCAAAAAATGTGGGCGTAATTCCTTGCAGATGCATACCCTGAGCTGTGACGACCCTCACCAATTGTTGTTGCGTTAGCTATAATTGTAAGTTGTATTTCACCAATTTTTCTCATTTCATTAAATGGTTATTTTATCATATACAATATTATATTCGGCAAACTCTTATTACTCGAGTCGCTAGAAGAGTATGTACACTAAAATTATCGTACTTTATGTAAAATATGCAATTTTAATAAAATCCTTTCACTCAAATAATTCTTATAATAACAACGAAAATTCGCGAGTCTTTCGTTTCTACTAAACAGTGCATGATTGCGCTTCGATATTTTACGAGAATTTAGTAAGCGATGATTATGAATGTGTATATATGGAGATGCAATGTGAATGAGACCATCACCTGTGCAGTATGTGTTTGTTGCTGGGCGTTTGTTGGCGTCCTTAGTATGAGCTGAACGCCACCTGGCTGCTGCTGTACAATAACAGGTCCGGTCGACGGCAACACCTATGTACCAAATGTGACAAATATATGAAGCATAAAGAAACTCTTGCTGAGATATGTACGAATGCACGTACAAGCAGTCGAGGTAGATATACAGCGTATCAAAATACCTTGTATAATATAGCGTGACATATACATTTTCTATGTAATTACAATAATGAATATGCAGATGATAGATATATATAGTCTAGTATAAAAAGAAGCATGAATCGTTATAATAACCTGATTCAATAGTAGACCCTGCGCTGTCGGTATCATCGTTGCTGTGGTAGGACTCGGCTGTGGCCCAGTAAGAACTAGTTGCGGTTGGGTTTGCTGCGTTACCTTCAGCAGAGAAAATATACAATTCGATATAAGATCATGTCGACCTTGTTGCGTTAAAACAAGTAATTGCAACAAGAAAGCGCGATTCAGTCGACCCCTGTTTAGGTGAGAGAGTTAAAAAGCAAATCATACCTGATTGGTAATTGTAGTGGTAGTACGTTGCGGTTTCTGCTGGGAAGTAGCAACCTGCTGATTCGGTGGTTTCGGTAAGATTTGCTGCGGTTGTTTGGAGGTCTTAGAGGGTGTCGCTATTTGAATTTGTTGATTCCCAAATAGGTGTCTTGTCACCAGTTGAGTCGGAGCAGGCTGATAACCCTGTGGTGTACCATGAATTATTTGCAACACTTGCATACCTTGTTGCAATATAGGCGTATTAGGCCTAACCTGGAACATGAAAAATACAATTATTAGTTTATTATTAGTGGACGTCTCACTGACCTATATTAAAGGCGTCTTACCAAAAAAAAAAGCAAAAGACCGATACTCCAATGTAAGCAACATAAGCAATACGCACGATTCGACTAGAAGCGCATTTTTTTTTTTAAGTAATCAGTGCGTGTAAAACGCCCTTACCACAGGTGGACCAGGACTACCTCCGGGTGCTGGGCTTCTATTGTTGAGAGAGTTATTCCCGCTTAAGAGATGCGGACTTTTTGCGGGGGGATACGGGCTAAGTACAGGACTCTGTATTTGACTAACGCTCATCGGACTCTGCATGGGGCTTTGCATTTGTATGTTAAAGTTATTGTTCGAGGTCGCTGTCCCGACGGGGCTCGGGCTGTTCCTATTTGACTGTATATTCGACGCCGGACTTCTAAGTATTAGCCGATTAGGGCTAGGGCTCGGCGTAGGCGGCGCTATATTGGATGCCGGACTCTTCAGGGGTATCGAGAATGGGCTACCCGGCGAACTAATGTTTTGGCTCTGAATGTTCTGCATAGACTTAACAGTATTCATGGTACTGACCACATTCGACGTTTGTGTTGTGCCCGCTAGTGTCACCGACGAACTTAAGCCAGGGTTTATTCCCTGCGGATACTGTCGCTGTGATTGAAATCCCGTCGACTGGGAGGAACTTAAAGAAGAAACATGATTCAATGACATAGTCGGTTCGTTGGACGCGGTTATGTGTTGTACATTCGACGTCGATATATTTGACAAGTTAGAGTGCATGGTAGCGAGGTGCGGTATATTCGTAGTGAGATTCACGTTTGAAGCGTGATTCACATTCGCTGTGGTTGGATGAATCGATTCGCTGGGAGTGCTCGTGAATACGCTGGGACTCGTCAGAGTAGTAGAGTTCGAGATTTGTGAGATTGTTGACACGTTCGAGTTGGGATGCTGCGATATGACGGAACTTGGTACATGTGCTATATTTGATGATCCGACAATATGTGGTGCGACAGTTTGAATACTTTGTATCGTTTGGAATGGAAACTGTGTGTTATTAGAGTTCAATGTAGTCGGCGTCAGACCAGTGGTCGCCAGGGCATTCGCAGGTCGACTGAGACCTTGATTTATACCAGAATTTATGCTGGTATTTGTCAAATTTGTATTTGGATTGATAGCGGGTAAACCCGACACGCCGGAATTCGCGGCGCTCAAATTGGCATTCAGTGTCGTAAGATTTTGATTTATATTCGATGAGTTTAAATTCGTCAAATTTGGACTCACGCCGGACAGCCCAGTGTTCACTCCGGCCAGGCCGGGATTGATATTCGAGTTTATCGTGTTGTTTATCCCGGTATTTATCCCAGTATTTATGCTATTCAAATCTTGCCCCAAATTGGACAAACCGCTGTTAATATTGTTTGAACCAATGCTGGGATTGATAGCATTCAATTGATTCAGGCTAGGATTTATCGTGGCCAACCCTGTGTTTATGCTCGGCAAGCCCAAATTCAGCAAAGGATTCGACGTGGTGATAACATTGGAAGTAAGAGATGTAAGACTGGTATTTAGAAGTGATAGTGGCAATCCCATATTAAGGCCCACCCCAAAAGTGGGGGTGGCCGGGGGTAGGCCCATACCAGTCCCCGAGGGATTTATGGTACTTTGATTCAATTGATTCAACTGATTTACGTAGACTATGTGATTTCCAGTCGTTGATCCATTTCCTTGGTCTTGCGGCTGCAAGTGTGAGAGAAACATTAGAATAATATCTCGAATGAAATCACACTTTGGTCGTCAACGAGAGCAACTCACATTATTCGACGTCTGTTGCAAAGCAAATGTTAGCGACTGACCACTGGTATTCTGGGCCTGTAGTTGTAGCTGCTGTAGCTAAAGCAAGATTGTTAAGTATGAAACTGATGTTTCATTCGAGCATGTTATACGTTTTAATGGATCCTTACTTGTTGTTGGGTCAAAACGGCAACTGAACTATTACGACGTGCATTCGGGGAAGTTGTAGAGGATACTGAGTCCCCAAGAAGAGGGTGTGACTGAGGCTGCTGCATGCCCACGCAGCCCCTCTTTACTACGGGCAGCGTCTAGCTACCTTTCCAGCTTATTTTGTTCTTTCCACTAAACTTTCCTATTAATATGAAATATCATATCTCATTCATCATATGTTCATGAAAAGTAACAAGTTATGAGATATACTTGTACAAATGCCTCATGTATATTATTGGTAACTTTTATAGTAATGTTGCCTAATAAATCATAAAAAATTCTACTTCTTGAGATTAATAGATGAAATAAACAACAGTTTAAGAACAGTACAGTCAAGATAAAGAAATACTTCTTAAATTTCAGCAAAAGATCTCAACACTTTGAAGACTGCAAATGTTTCTGGCCCTCAAGTGTCAATATTTCAGTATTTTGTATTTTAGTATCAAGATTATTTTGTAATTATTAATATAATGAGTGTTTGCTTGCGTGTTAAATATTACTAATAAAAAAAGTTATATTTACCAAAATTTGTTCAAGAGTAATGTTTGCGTTTCGGCGCCACTCAACGCGTCTGCGACCAACGTCTCCTGTTCCTGTCATGCATATAATTTCGTATTTCTTCTAACACTCAGACAGCACTCTCTGAATTCTTCAAGATACTTGTATTCACTTATATTATTAATGCCACCTCTAAAGTTCTTGCACAAATACTAATTGCATCTGGATGTTACACACACTGCTCTCTTGCACATTGAAAGTAGTTCTTTCTTGAACCACTTTATCCGTTGAAGAATAACTGCTCAATCTCATTGTGTATGTATCCTGACTTATATCTAAAATACACTTGTCGCAAGATTCCACCCATTTATAAATGTAGCAAAATTACACTTGTCCATGACAGTACGTCCAAGCTGCGCACAGGGAACAATATGTAGAATGTATGCGTATCACCTTATTTTGATAAAAGTCTCTTTCGTTACATATTATCCCAGGTCCAAAAAGTAACTCGCAAACATTCTTGAATGTTTGTCAAACGTTTAAAGAATAATGTCACCACAGCATACCTTTTCATGTATGATATTCATTTGAACAATGATTTCTTCTTAAAAGTCTCTCTATCGTTGTACACACACACTACACTTCTGCTTGCACCGTTTTCGCTCCTTACTTCTGCCCTGCAAAAAAGAAACGAAGAGTCAATTTAGTTGCCGTAAACTGACAACTTATACGGAAATCAACATCAACCGGATACTCTCTTTAAACTCTATCGCGATTAAATCGACGTAAAACCGTAAAAAAAAACTCTTTTGCGGAGGGAATATACGAGAAACGGAGGAGACGGTGCGACGTGCCACGGCTGATCGAACATACCCGTGTTGGCGCGGAACGGTAATTTCGAATTCGTACGATAATACGGAGGAACCGGGCGATCCCGGCGAAATGATCGGAGTTTCGCACGAGAATTCGACAGCTGGAAGCATCTTTTGAGGTTATAACTGGCGCGCCTGTGTGCAAGCATACGTGCCACACAAGCCACTAACACGCGTACGAGTGTCACACACACCTCACTCTCACTTACGAGTACTAGCAGCGGCGCGCGATTGCACACAACAAAAGTCCAACTGACAAGGCGTAAACAAAAGAAAACGCGAGCATCCGACGGAAATTTCACGGTCCGAGAGGCCGGGCGGGCCCGCGGACGGCGCCGCGACACGTGTGTTTCGTATCGACGCGCAAAAATGCGCGTAGCGTCGCGACGAAAAATTGTCAATATTACCTCGGCGAACGCGGTTTTGCCACTCCGTGTTTTCCTCTTGGGAATTTTCGGCCACGCGCGTACTCTAGCCGCGCGATCCCACGTCACGCCGCGGCCCGACAGCACCTCGCCGAAACGAAAACAATCGCACACGGAGCACGCGCGACGCTATATTCTGCTGAGAATAATAAACTTTTTCAGTTACACGACACAGTTCCATGTACGCGTTACACTATTCGGTGGCAACGGCCATCATGTATTTTGTCAAGGCTGCCATTAGCGCAGGCAGGTTTATAAAATCCCAACTGCCACCAACATTGGCGACACCTCGGTTTTAGTTAGGGAGCCGTAACTTTTTGCAACACTCGAACGTGACTCACTCGTGCGCTGATTGGTCGACAGTTAGCGCATAACCAATGATAATAATCACAATTTATACTTGCCATTGAAGCTTGTCGACGCATCGATAAGAGCTTAAGGCTGCTCATGAAATATCCGATAGAAAACGTAAAAAATTAATGAGTGAAAATTAATGAGTTAAAAGATTTGTTTATTAAATTCTGAGCATCAAGATCTCAAGGTAAGAAATAATAAAAATGACAAAATAATCTAATAATTTTTTCCTAATTTATTAATTATATTTTTGATTAGACGTATAAGTCATCTTTTGATTAGACCGATATTTTTTGAATAATTTAATTTTTTACAACATATGTAAACGTATAAGTTGCTTTAATGCTTTTAAGTTACAATTTAGGAAATTTTGAATCGAATGTACGCGTTTTCAATTACCGGAAGCCATATATTGAAGGAAGGAAGAAATGTATCGCGTCTAGATACATAAACTTCATGCTTTCAATGCCTCTGTAATTAAAAAGAGACAAAGCTATTTCCCTAACGTTATTTCTCTAGAATCGCCGTTCTACAAAAGTGGCTTGTTCTTTATAACTGTATTTTTTGAGTTATCTTGTAATATTTCTGTTTTCTTCTCTCTCTGTTCTAATAAGTATGGTGCCCTATCTTATTTTAAATATATACAGTGCAACTTAATGCAACTATAAAGAACAGATATATTACGGATCTCATGAAAGAACACATTCGTTTCAATATTAGTCTAAAATTCAGTGCATTTAATTCAGTGTTCTCCTTGGTAAGGAGAGTTGTCAATCACTTAGATTAGATTAGGTTAGGTTAGGTGTTCACAAATTATCAATACTACAGAATATTTTACTGTGCTAGATTTAAAGACACTAACTAGTTATATATATTTGATTAAATCTCAACAAAGTGTTCTATACAATTTTCAACAATTGCCGAAAATGTTATCAGCAATTGTAAAAGAACATCAGAGTAAGCAAGTAATAAGGAAAGAAAGACAAGGTAAATTGATCATAATAAATAAAATAGATCATATTTACTTTTTGCGTATACCAATAAAAATATATATTTATCAAAATCTGGCTGATTCAACAGAGCAAAAGCGTAAAGAAGCTGTTCAGGCTGCGAGCAACTTGACTCAAGCTCTCGTTGATCATTTGAATGTTGGGTTAGTAATGTTGCTTAAATTTTAATAAAACATATATATATATATATACATAAATAATACAATATAGGGAAAATAATTATGTAATTAAAATAATTAATATTTTTTTAGGGTGGCCCAAGCATATTTAAATCAGAAAAAATTAGATGCAGAAGCAAAGCAATTACAGCATAGTGCAACCAATTTTGCCAAACAAACACAGCTATGGTTGAATTTGGTAGAATCCTTTTCAAGTTCTTTAAAAGAAATTGGGGATGCAGAGAATTGGGCACGTAGTATAGAAGGAGATATGCGAACAATAGCTACAGCTTTGGAATACTCATATAAAGGTATAAAATCTAATAGTATATAACTATATTTATATATACTATATGTAATGAAACATATTCTTAATTAAAATTGTTTCATTTTTAGCTACACAGGAAAATCAAAGTGTTGGAAATGTTTAAAAAAAGAACTATATGAGATAGTTTGTAATTATATAAGAATTTCATAATAATTCTATAGTATGAAGTTTATGTTAAAATATGAAGTTATTATAATTTAAATTATGTAGGAGAAAAATTTTGTACATAATTTTTTTAGAATTAATATGTCATGTTCTAATTAAAATAATTATCGTTTGTAATATTATCAAGTACATTTAACCTTTTATTTTTACAATGTTATATTTATACATTTCTACATTTGATATCGTTACACGCTAGACATCAATATCGTAAAAGTATTGAATAATATTTTCAAGTATTAATAAATATTTTCAATATTCTTTAAAGTATTCATATCGAATATAAATAGATATTATATATATCAAATAAATATTGAATACTTCCAATAAAATCTAGAGAAAACTACAATATACTAATTTTTTTTAAATTTTATATAAATATTGAATAAAAACAAATTTATATAAATAATTTTATATAAATATTAAACAATTTTATATAAATATTTTGAATAAAAATGAAAAAAGTAAATATGTAAATAAATATTTATAATCAATAAAACATTATAATCATATAATATCTATGACAATATTATCATATGATCATCATGTAATAATGTTATGTTTATTTATTGTTTATTTATTAAATTATATGTTTATTTAAAATATCTGTCAAGCTTGTTGTATGATACATGAAATATTTAGTCTGTTCTTTCCAGCTGTACTTGTAAATCAATTGAGACAATTTAGCTAAAAAGAATAGATCTCTAGTTCAGTTCAATTTAATTTAGTACTAGTGCATTATTCGTGCAACGAAAAAGAACAAACCTAAAATATATTTGTCTCATTCTAGAGTCACACGTGCTTATTTTGCTGGTTTGCTTGCTAGATAGAAATACTCTGATTGGTGCATTTCTGAAGATGGATGGAAGTGCCCCAATCAAACTAGAGTACTGCTCTATTCTTTTTAGCTGCATTGCTGAACTAGTGCAATAAGTTAGGGTGCCGTCACATGTAGCGTAAAGCCAACGATGCTTGTTTCGTGATGGATTACTTGTTGGATGGAAATACTCTATTTTGATTGGTCCGTCTTCAGAAATGCACCAATCAAAACAGAGTATTTCCATTCAGCAAACAATACAGCATGAAAACAAGCATCGTGTGCCGTTGACTTAACTTGCGTAAGCGCAAAGAGAAACTTGAGAGCGGCCACGCCATACATTTTGACCGACACCGATTTTCACGCTGTTCGATGCGCCATTTGCATTCATTTTTGAGGTAGAATTACGTTCCTTACGCCCATTTTCAGGCGCTACCGGTAAAGTGTCGATTTGTTGTGTGTCCATTCTACACCCATTTTCTGGCGATTCGTGTCCGTGTTAAGCACATAATTGCGAAGCATTACCGCGTCCTGTGTGCAGAAGCCATTATGGCTACTCACATCAAAATGTTAAAATCTATAAAATAAGTTTTCAGGCGGTTGTAACTTTTTGAAATAATGGCTGCGTTCAGCAAAGAAAGTTGCTTTGCAACTGTTGTAAATTTCGTGAATCTGATTGATTCTTGGATTCAACCAAGATTAAGAGCATACTCCAATTAGATTCACGAACTTTATAACAGTTGCAAAGCAGCTTTCTCTACTGAATGCAGCCAATGACTTATGATTGGTTGAGCAAAATCCGCTATGTGCTTATTCCGCTCCATGGGGATTCCAGGACACTTTTACACCTAATGCCCGTTGCACACTAGTGCATCTCAAACAACACAAATTTTCCAAAATACATTCTGAAGACGTTTTTAGGAGGGAGGGACGTCATCAGAATATTCTTAAGACGTCTTTTGAATATTTGAATTGTCTGAAAATAGCTAATATCCAATAAGTTTATTCACATTAATTAAACTTTTTACGCTTTTACACTTAGTACACATTAATTCTTTAGAGGTTCTAAAAATGGCGTCATATTTTCCGTTCGTATTACGAGTGTAAATGCAATTCTAATACACTTTTCACTCTTGCTTGTGATCAAGTGTAATTTGATACTACTAGTTACTTTTAACTCAATGCCTTACCATAGGAGCAAACTGGAACAACTGGAACCATAGGAACAAACTATCATATATAGACTGCGTGTTCTCAATGTTTTCTATAGCTTGAACGCGTCACAGAATAGAAAGAGATAGCATGCTTTGGATTAGAAATGCCCGATTCTTAATCGATTCGATTCTTTTCCTAACAAATTTAGGGAAAAAGATTGTTTGTGCTGCATGCATGTTTCATACTTTTCGCTTTTAAAAAGAGATGGACGCCTAATCAGACGCTTGGAAGAAACAATCGAGTTGGTTATCTCGTTTTTGCTTCTTCGAAATATTCCAATATACTTTTGTCTAGTTTTAAATACGAAAAGTGCGAAGAGTGCAAACAACATGAATAAGCCTATTTTTGGGGAAAGAATCGAATCGATTCAGAATCGCGCATCTCTACTTTGGATCACCATTCTGTCTTTTTACGACGCATAGTGTGGATAAGAAGAAGAATGTGGAAAAGGAATAAAGGGAAATTGAAAGGCATGGAGGAGAAAAAATAATATAGCGTATCAGAATAATTATCGATATATTGTGATAATAAAGTGTTTTATATGTGTATAAAGTATTTTATATGTATGTAATAAAGACGCTTCGAGGGAAACATACTATATAGGAGAATGTAAACCCCCATTCTAAATATAAGGAGAGACTGGAGTGTCCCCACCATGTGTCATTAGAAAAAATTGAATGGTGATCCAAAGGGGAACGTCCCGATTGACCACGGTACGATTGGATACAACCAACTGATGCAAAGAATTATCTAGTGAATTACCAGGTCGAATCAATGGATGCTTTCCAATTGCAATATCCCTAGACATTTTCATGCACACGGCGACACAAGTTGCATTCCAATTGTCGTAATCGTCGACACAACACTACACAGCCGTATTCAGCTCGAGGGCTACTAGTCGGCTGTGTAGACTAGTGTTTTCTAGTGACAATTAAAGTTAATAAACGTAGCGGTTTGAAAAAAGACTGGCATTTGCGACGTGAAATGGATAATATCTTTTTTAATATTTAGATTTTATTATTTATTATTAAAAAATACCAAAATATAAGCACAATTGAAAAATAATCCTAACTCTACCCGACATTTTTAGCGTGTTCGACTGGCCCTGGGTTAATCGCTTCGAGAACGATTAATGACGTCATAAGTCTCTACTAGCCAATCATAAAACTTATAAGTACTTGTTCGACCAATAAACGTAGACTGAATAACTCAGAGTGGGTTAACCCAGAGTCAGTCGAACATGCTATTTGTTCCAATTGAATCGTGCACAACGTTACACTTTGTACATTTCTATGTACATATGTGTCAAGATGTATTAAGCAATTGGAAGGCACCCAATCATTACAATCTGTGTCCAATCATACTGTGGTCAATCGGATCCCACCCGTCCACGGTACGCAGAAGGCCTCCTGTCACGGAGAAAATCTCGCGAATTGGCAGCTCTGCACTGAAGTATACTTTAATACGGACTTAACGAGGAGCCATGGCGGCCGGTCCAATAGCGGAACGTAATCAAGGTATATTTAAATTTTTTAATTGATAACCTTCTATTTTTAATAATACTTATGATTCTGTTTCAAAAGGCTACGTAAAATTTAGCTAACAAATCTCTTTCCTTTTCACTTTAAAAGATAAGTTAGCCTTTCAATTGAGGTTATATAGGGACACTGTAAGGCGTTTAATATCTGTCTTTTTACACGTTTATATACATATTTATCTGTAAATAAAATTTATTCATGTGTTTACTTTATATATCTAAAATTTTTAGATGCGACAATATATGTTGGAGGATTGGACGACAAAGTCACAGAATCCCTTATGTGGGAATTATTTGTCCAATCAGGACCTGTTGGTATGTACATTTATGTTCTTCATTTATACACATTTATGTTATTTACATATAAGCATATATTTCCTAATATTTTAATATTATATTTCCTAACATCTAAAACTTGTATATTTAGATATATCTTGAGTGCACATAAAATACAAAGATATCTGAAACTTAAAATATAAATGATTTTTTTTTCAGTTAACGTGCACATGCCAAAAGATAGAGTAACCCAAATGCATCAGGGATATGGATTTGTTGAATTTATGGGTGAAGAAGATGCAGACTATGCCATCAAAATCATGAACATGATCAAGCTCTATGGCAAACCTATTCGAGTGAACAAAGCTAGTGCTCATCAGAAAAATCTGGACGTCGGAGCAAATATATTCATAGGAAACCTAGATCCAGAAGTGGACGAAAAATTGCTCTATGATACGTTCAGTGCATTTGGTGTAATTTTGCAAACTCCTAAGGTATGTGTCATCAGTATGTTACCACAGGCTATTCTATCACTAGAAAATCATTGGCTAATTCGATTTTGCTTTATAGATAATGAGGGATCCCGAGACGGGCAACTCAAAAGGCTTTGCTTTCATTAATTTCGCCTCATTCGACGCCTCAGACGCCAGCATCGAGGCGATGAATGGCCAGTATCTATGCAACCGGCCGATCTCGGTGTCATACGCGTTCAAGCGCGACGCGAAGGGCGAGAGGCACGGTAGCGCTGCGGAACGACTCCTAGCCGCGCAAAACCCGCTTAGTCAAGCGGACCGACCACATCAGCTCTTCGCGGACGCACCGCCGCTGGCCCCGCCGCCAATGCCGAACTCGAATGCGACTCCTCACCAGTCAGCCCATCATCCACAGCATCACGTCATGCATCACGGAATGGTCGTACCTCCGCCACCACCTCCGTCGACTCCTGGACCACCGATGGGTCATCCGCCTCCGCCGCCTGTACCGCCGCCACCCGCCGGCGGTTTTCCACCTGCCAACATACCCCCGCCGCCTCTTCCTCCCATGTCGATGGCCGCACATCCTCCTTTACCACCTGGAATGCCGCCGCCGTTGCCGCCGATGCCTGTGCCGAACTCACAGGCGCAACAGGCAGCCTCCCGGATGATGGCACCGCCGCCACCGCATTGGGCTGTGGGGGCACCGCCGCAGGGACAGTTCCCACCACCCCCGCCGCCGTCCTCCACCGGGGGACCGCCGCAGTTCGGACAGTTCCAGCCGCCACCGCCGAGGCCGCCTCCAGGTTGGCGACATCCACCACCACCTCCTGTTTCGCAAGGTGGCCCACCGCCCCCACC